TGTGATATTATACAAAGGAGAAGGCAATGATTTACAGCAGCGGTTCCCCAGATGTTTTGGCCTTCAATTCCCATAAATCCTAACAGCTGGTAAACTGGCTGGGATTTCTGGGAGTTGTAGGTCAAAACACCTGGGGACCCACAGGTTAAGAAGCTGTCATTTACAGTATCATAAGCTGCTGACAGGTCTATGAAGACAGATCTGCTGTCTTTCAAAACCATCTTCTATGTGCTGAGTCAGGTTCAACACTTGTGATGTGCAGCTTCTGCCTTTCCTGAAACCAGCTTGCTGTGGAATCGTAAAGTGCTGCCAAGACCGCCTCCAATTCTGCAAAGTAGACATAGCCAAAGAAGGACAAAAACCTTGTGAAACTACAGCTCTAAGGATAAAGTTGCATTAAAGCGACATTCCCATCGCGTAGATGTGCCCAAAGAAGGACAAAGACCTTTTGAAACTACAGCTCTAAGATGAAGGTAAATGTTTTCCTATGACATTAAGTCGAGTAGTGTCCAACTCTGGGGCTTGGTTCTCATCTCCATTTCTGAGCCGAAGAGCCAGCGTTGTCCGTAGACACCTCCAAGGTCATGTGGCAGGCATGACTGCATGGAGTGCCATTACCTTCCTGCCAGATTGATACAGAGGCAGCCCTAGGTAATTTTCAACGGTAAGCAAACAGTATTTCCCCCCCCCCCCCCAACCAATCACTGATATATATTTTCTGTTCGTTGTGGGAGTTCTGTGTGCCCGTATTTGGTTCAATTCCATCATTGGTGGAGTTCAGAATGCTCTTTGATTGTAAGTGAACTATACATCCCAGTAACTACAACTCGCATATGTCAAGGTCTATTTCCCCCTAAGAGTGCCTCAAGAGCGCCCCTGGGCAAAATCAACTATACTGCAAATGCTTCCTTTGCATAATGGGTTGAGCTGCCCCTGCCTGTTGATCTACTTACATCTGCGTGTTTTTGGACTGCTAGGTTGGCAGAAGCTAGGGCTAACAGCGGAAGCTCACCCTGCTTCCCGGATTCAAACCTCTGACCTTTTGGTCAGCAAGTTCAGCAGCTCAGCAGTTTGATCCACTGCACCACTGGGGCCTCCGGTGATATAATTGCACCGAACAGCTCTAAGATAGAATTGCATTAAAGCGGTGCCCAACCACAGTCATTCTATAGAGTTGATGCACGCACCCAAAGAAGGCCAAAGAACCTACAACTCCTTGCGTTCAGGTCTCCATCGAAATGGAATGAGCCAAAACTGTCCCCAAAAAGGGGCTGAGCAACAAAAGCCGCCGAAAACAATTTCCTCCAGAGCTGTGGGACTCGCACCCGCAACCCAGCCTTTTTCCTGTATCTTGTTTTCACCGCTGCTTCTTCTTTTTTGTCGTCGTTGTCTTCTCTGTCCCCCAGCCAGGAAATCATGTGCCTCTGGCGCGTGTGAGGCCTTGCGTGGCGCCCCGTTGGAGAAGCCAGTGGATGGCCAAGTGGGGGGGCCCTTTGGTGACTCCGGCTAGGCCCTGATCGCAAGGTGTTGACCATGTTTTCGAGGAAAAAGCGCGACTTGATGAAGACTCCCTCCATCTCCAAGAGGGGCCGGGCGGCCAGCCCCGTGCCACCCTCGGCGGCTCTAGCGGTGAGTGGCTTCCGACAGCTCTCTGACAATTCCGACGGATTGATGCCGTTGGATCCCACTCCATCTGCCATGGGTCGGTGCTACCAAGTCCTTTGTCGTCTCTCAAACCACAACACCCAACTAAAACGTTGCTCAAGGGTGCAGAGGCACCCTCGGTTCCGGTTGAGCGGGAAGAAGGCCCGAGCGTCTGTCATGTTGTATGTTGTCAAAGGCTTTCGTGGCTGGAATCGCTGGGTTCTTGTGAGTTTTTTGCCATGTTCCAGCAGCATTCTCTCCTGACATTTGGCCTGCATCAGTGACAGGCATCCTCAGAGATTTGTTCAGAGGTCTGTTGGAAATGAGGCAAGTGTATATATATTTGCGGAATAATGTCCAGGGTGAGAGAAAGAACCTATGTGTCAATATTGCGGTTAGCAAGCTTGATTAGCATTGAGTAACCTTGCAACTGCAAAGTCAATCAGTGAGGGTCTCTGCATAGAGCTGTTGTTACCTGGAGGCATCCTCAGTTTGGGAGGTGTTAACCGACCCTTTATGGTTTGCTGTCTGGAATTCCTTGTTTCATTATTTACTGTCTTGATTCTGAACATTAGGAAGAACTTCCTGACTGTGAGAGCTGTTCAGTAGTGGAACTCTCTGCCCTGGAGTGTGGTGGAGGCTCCTTCTTTGGAGGCTTTTAAACAGAGGCTGGATGGCTATCTGCCGGGAGTGCTTTGAATGCAATTTTCCTGCTTCTTGGCAGGGGGTTGAACTGGATGGCCCATGAGGTCTGTTCCAACTCTATGATTCTATGGTGTTCCTTCTCCCAGCAGCATTTTCTCCTGACGTTTGGCCTGCATCTGTGGCAAGCATCCTCAGAGGTTTGTTCAGAGGTGTGTTGGAAATGAGGCAAGTGGAGTGTATATATATCTGTGGAATAATGTCCAGGCTGGGAGAAAGGACCCATGTCTGTTTAAAGCAAGTGTGAATGTTGCAATTAGCAAGCTTGAATAGCATTGAGTAGCCTTGCAGCTGCAAAGTCAATCAGTGAGGGTCTCTGCATAGAGCTGCTGTTGCCTGGAGGCATCCTCTGTTTGGGAGGTGTTAACTGGCCTTTCATTATTTGCTGTCTGAAATTCCTCTGTTTCTTTTTTTACTGTCTTGATTCTGGTGTTCCTTCTCCCAGCAGCATTCTCTCCTGATGTTTGGCCTGCATCTGTGGCAAGCATCCTCAGAAGTTTTTTCAGAGGTCTGTTGGAAATGAGCAAGTGAAGTATCTATCTATCTATCTATCTATCTATCTATCTATCTATCTATCTATCTATCTCTGTGGAATAATGTCCAGGCTGGGAGAAAGGACCCATGTCTGTTTAAAGCAAGTGTGAATGTTGCAATTAGCAAGCTTGAATAGCATTGAGTAGCCTTGCAGCTGCAAAGTCAATCAGTGCGGGTCTCTGCATAGAGCTGTTGTTGCCTGGAGGCATCCTCAGTTTGGGAGGTATTAACTGACCCTTCATTATTTGCTGTTTGGAATTCCCCTGTTTCGTTATTTACTAACTTGACTCTGGTGTTCCTTCTCCCAGCCTGGCCTTCATTCCACACACACTCACACACACACTCCAGGCGAAACGTCAGGAGAAAATACTACTGGAGCATGGCCAGACAGCCCGAAAAAAATCACAGCAACCCGATCTTGTTATGGTTTGCAAGGATCCCAGGGGTGCCTTGCATCCATCCGGTCCTGGGAGCTGTAGTTTGGCAAAGCAGGGAAAATAAGGCAGTTGGACAGCAGCGTAGGGTTTGCTGTCCTGGGAGCTGCAGTCCCGCAAGGCTTTTGGCCTTCTCTATGCAATGGAACGAATGTGGTTTGGCGTCACTTTAATGCCCTGGAACCTGGGGAGTTGTAGTTCCTCAAAGCCATTAGCCTTCCCTATGCAGTTTGGCGTCACTTTAACGTGATGGCATCTGGGGAGTTGTAGTTCTGCAAGGCCTTTGGCCTTCCCTCTGCAGTTTGGCGTCACTTAAATGTGATGGCACCCAGGGAGTTGTATTTCTGTGAGGGCTTTGACCTTTCCTATGCAGTTTGGCGTCACTTTAACGCGATGGCATCCGGGGAGTTGTAGTTCCGCAAGGCCTTTGGCCTTCCCTCTGCAGTTTGGCATCACTTTAATGTGATGGCACCCAGGGAGTTGTATTTCTGTGAGGGCTTTGACCTTTCCTATGCAGTTCGGCATCACTTTAATGCGATGGCATCCAGGGAGTTGTAGTTCCGCAAGGCCTTTAGCCTTCCCTCTGCTGTTTGGCGTCACTATAATATGATGGCACCATGGGAGTTGTAGTTCCTCAAGGTCTTTGGCATTCCCTATGCAGTTTGGCATCACTTTAATGTGATCATAGAATCATAGAATCAAAGAGTAGGAAGAGACCTCATGGGCCACCTAGTCCAACCCCCTGCCAAGAAGCAGGAATATTGCATTCTAATCACCCTTGACAGATGGCCATCCAGCCTCTGTTTAAAAGCTTCCAAAGAAGGAACCTCCACCATCATGGCACCATGGGAGTTGTAGTTCCTCAATGTCTTTGGCCTTCCCTCTGCAGTTTGGCATCACTTTAATATGATGGCACTATGCGAGTTGTAGTTCCTCAAGGTCTTTAGCCTTCCCTATGCAGTTTGGCATCACTTTAATGTGATGACACCATGGGAGTTGTAGTTCCTCAAGGTCTTTCGCCTTCTCTCTACAGTTTGGCATCACTTTAATGCGATGGCACCATGGGAGTTGTAGTTCCTCAAGGCTTTTAGTCTTTCCTATGCAGTTTGCATCACTTTAATGTGATGGCACCCGGGGAGTTCTAGTTTCTTAAGGCCTTTAGCCTTCCCTATGCAGTTTGGCATCACTTTAGTGCGATGGTACCGTGGGAGTTGCAGTTCAGCAAGGTCTTTGGTCTTCCCTGCAGTATAGAATGAAGCCAAAAAAGGCCTCATCAAACCACAACTCCCATAATTCCATAGTGCCAAGCTGCAATCCTTTTATAATATTCTAGATGCATCCAGCGTAGGCCAAAGACCTTGCAAAACTGCGACTCCCAGGGTTCAGTCACATTCAAACAGGGCCAAAGTCCCATTCATTCTACAGGATAAAGGACTACGTAGGAGGGGAAAGACTACAAACGACAAAACTGCGTCTTATTTCAAGTTGGGCGTTCCTTCAACAGCGGAGATGCATTCAAGGTTGATGCGCCCAGAGTCTTGGTAAGCTACGCATCCCAGGCCCAGTTCCAAGGAGCATATGACAGAGAGGGTTGGGTGTCCCCACCCCTTGCAATGGGGCCTCGCATGTTATCTATTTTGCTCTCCTGGCGTCTTGATGTGCTCCAAAAGAGGAAGCCGATGGCTGTTGCTTCGGGGAGGAGAGCAAAAAAATATATTGCGGTTTCCTTCTCCTTCCGGCCGCTTTGCAGCAACCTTCGTAGGCCTGCTGTGTTGATTGCATTTTATTTTTCAGCACTACTAACCCCCTCCCTAAAAGGAAAACAATATTGAGAAACTGCTCAGAATATCTATTCAAAGTCTCCGAGTGTTTAAGAAGGAGTGGACGGTCAAATGGCAGGGATGTTGGTCAAGCGGGTCAGCGGCAAGGGCGGCTACAGCCCATATTTGACCGGACGGCGAAGGAAAGCCCCCAAAGCTCAGGGGTCGGGTTTGGTCACCTCCCGAGCCAGCGTTTTGCTCAAGGTAGGGACAAATGGATGTCGGAGGGGCCTCTGTTTGCGGGTATCAGTCCTGGCCGAAGGGGTCAGACTAGATGACCTCGCTAGCCTATGTGTGCCGTCAAGGTCTTCCTCTCCGGAGACCTTGACGGCACACAACAGCCGCACGTATTCCTCCTCTACTTTTTCTTGATCCCACTTTTTCTTGATTGCAATCCCGTTATTTCACCTCGATCTGGGAACTAAATGTGCATCTCCACTGTCAAACGAATGCAGTTTCAAAGCCGTGGAATCTTGGAAGTCGTAGTTGTACAGTACATGGCCTTTTGAGTCCAGCTCAATGAGAATTGTATATGCTGCCATAACTCAAGGATATGGGATGCCAGGATTTGTAGTTTGGCAAAGCCTACCATACGGAGATGCGGTTATTCAAATAGTCTGGACCCGAACCGTTTAGGGCAGTGTTTCTCAATCTCCCTAATCCCGCAACCCCTTAATATAGTTCCTCATGTTGTGGTGACCCCCCAACCAAAACATTATTTTCGTTGCTACTTCATAACTGCAATTTTGCTACTGTTATGAATTGTAATGTAAATATCTGATATGCAGGATGTGTTTTCAATCACTGGACCACATTTGGCACAAATACCAGATATGCCAACATTTGAATACTGGTGGGGTTTGGAGGGTTTGATTTTTTTGTCATTTGGGAGTTGTAGTTGCTGGGATTTATAGTTCACCTACAATCAAAGAGCATTCCGAACTCCACCAACGATGGAATTGAACCAAACTTGATACACAGAACTCACATGACTAACAGAAAATACTGGAAGAGTTTGGTGGGCATCAGAGGCGGCCCTAGGTAATTTTCAACGGTAAGAAAACAGTATTTTGCTCCCCCGCCCCCAACCAATCACTGATATATATTTTGTGTTCGTCATGGGAGTTCTGTGTGCCATATTTGGTTCAATTCCATCATTGGTGGAGTTCTGAATGCTCTTTGATTGTAGGTGAACTATACATCCCAGTAACTACAACTCGCATATGTCAAGGTCTATTTTCCCCCAAGAGCGCCTCAAGAGCGTCCCTAGGCAAAATCAATTATACTGCAAATGCTTACTTTGCGTAATGGGTTGAGCCGCTCCTGGTGGGCATTGACCTTGAGGTTTGGAGTTGCAGTTCACCTACATCCACAATGATAGATCTGGATCAAACTTGGCATAAATACTCGATATGCCCAAAGGTGAACGCTGGTGGAGTTTGGGGAAAATAGACCTTGACATGTGGGAGTTGTAGTTGCTGGGATTTATAGTTCACCTGGCATAAAAAGAGCATTCTGAACCTCACCAATGAGAGAAGTGGGCCTGCCTTCCCACACAGAACCCCCATGCCTTGAAGGGACTCACTGGGACGAGCCTCCCTCCAACCTCATATGCGGACCACATTGCCATGCACTGAGCACACCTGCTCTCCCCTCCCCACTTGGAATCTCAGAATCAGCCTTCCCCTTGGCTGAGAGGCCTGCCAATCCCAGCGGAGGAGGGCTTTTGGTGGGAGGATTCGCCTTCTGTTTCCAAAAAGGAAGAGAAGGGCGGATGGCAATCTTCAGCCTTCTCTGCCAAAGTGATTCCTAAGACCAGCGAAAATATAGGTTTTCTGATGGTCTTTGGCGACCCCTCTGATACCCCCTTGCGACCCCCTCCAGGGGTTCTGACCCTCAGGTTGAGAAACACTGCATTGAGCCTTCGCAGTTCAAGTGGTGGCATTAAAACCACTGTGTCAACATGCCACGATCCCATAACAACAACAACAATAATACACTTTATTTATTAGAAAATGTTGACCATTTCCGCTACCTTGGCAGCCTCCTCTCTACCAAAGTCAACATCGACACCGAAATACAACACCGCCTGAGCTCTGCGAGCGCAGCATTTTTCCGAATGAAGCAGAGAGTGTTTGAGGACCGGGACATCCATAGGGATACCAAGGTGCTTGTCTATAAAGCTATTGTCCTCCCAACCCTGCTATATGCCGGCGAAATGTGGACTGTCTACAGACGTCACATGCAACTTCTGGAACGATTCCATCAGCGCTGCCTCCGGAAAATCCTGCAAATCTCTTGGGAAGGCGGACAAACGTCAGCGTGCTGGAAGAAGCATTGAAGCGATGGTCCTCCGCCATCAACTCCGCTGGACCGGCCACGTTGTCCGGATGCCCGACCACCGACTCCCAACGCAGTTACTCTACTCCGAACTTAAGAACGGAAAATGTAATGTTGGTGGACAGGAAAAGAGATTTAAAGATGGGCTCAAAGCCAACCTTAAAAACTCTGGCATAGACACTGAGAATTGGGAAGCCCTGGCCCTTGAGCGCTCCAGCTGGAGGTCAGCTGTGACCAGCAGTGCTGTAGAATTTGAAGAGGCACGAATGGAGGGTGAAAGAGAGAAACGTGCCAAGAGGAAGGCGCATCAAGCCAACCCCGACCAGACCTCCCATCTGGAAACCATTGCCCTCACTGCGGAAGAAGATGCAGATCAAGAATAGGGCTCCACAGTCACCTACAGATTCACAAGAATTCTGATTCTGGAAGACTATCCTACTCGGCCAACGAGGGATCGCCTGAGTAATACACTTTATTTATATTTCGCTCCATTTCCCCAAGAGGACTCAGAGCGGATTACAGTATACAGTACACATATATAGGCAAACATTCAATGCCTTTTATACAGTAACAACAACAATGTGCAATACAAAACAAAGGCACAGATTTCCCTTTCCATGCCCGGCGTCTGGAGGTGATGCTCAACTCTGGCCATGAGGAGGTGCTCTTGTTCAGTTTTTCCAAGCTGAGAAGCCTGTTGACACCTCCTGGTCGTGTTTGCCGGCATGGCTGCATGGGCACTTTTTACCTTCCTGCCTATTGTTCTTCTCACATTGCATGTTTTTTTAATTACTAGGTCAGTGGAAGCTAGGGCTAACAGCGGGAGCTCACCCCGATTCGAGACTTTGAACTGCTGACCTTCCGTTCAGCTAGTTTTCTGCAGCCAATGGTTTAATTGTGGCCCCAAAATGTGGAGATATGCCATAGGGGTCTGTGCAATCGTCCGGGGAGTCAGGGCTCACCCTCCACTCTTCTTGGCACTCAATTGATGGCGCTTCCTAAACCTTTCTCCTTGTAGGAGCTGCCCTCGGTGGTGTCAGGCCCGGGAGACGGTACAGCAATGGTCAAGCGACCCACCAGTCTCAGCCGCCACGCCAGCGCCGCGGGGTTCCCCCTCTCTCCGGCCAAGGGACTCTCCAAAGGCCACAAAGTCCACAGCCCCGGGGATGGAGGCAGCGCAGAGGGCAGCCTGACTGACCCAGAGGACATTGCACAGCTCCTGGCCGACGTGGCCTGCTTTGCTGAGCGGCTGGAGAAGCTCAAGGACGTTGTGCTCCAAGAGGGTCAGTGCCAGCTAGCAATAGCCCTTGCCTGTTCATCCCATTCGGTTTCTTGTGGTAATGAATACTGATTGCGAGTTTTACCATTCCTTGATTGATCCCGGTTGAAAACGCATGCCTGGGTACATAAGTTAGCATTTTATAACAGCTTCACGACCCAAGTTTTGTCATCTAAAAGGCAGCTTTCTCCTTTCTCCTGCTCCCTTTTATTATTACCTGTCCTCAAAGGGGAAACTTTATCCCTTCCATCTTTGTCTTATCATCTTTCTCTCTTCTCCAGCTCCCTTCCATCATCGCCTTATCCTCTAAATGGCTATTTTCTCCCTTCTCCAACTCACATCCATCTTTCCCTTATCCACTAAATGGCAACTTTCTCCCTTCTCCACTTCCCTTCTATCCTTGCCTGTCATCTAAAGGGCAACTTTCTCCCTTCTCCAGCTCCCTTCCATCATTGCCTGTTCTCAAAGGGAAACTTTTTCCCTTTCTCCCTTCCATCTTTGCCTTATCATCTAAAGAGCAACTTTCTTTCTTCTCCAGCTCCCTTTCAAAGTTGCTTGTCCTAAAAGGACAACTTTCTCCCTTCTCCAGCTCCCTTCCGTCATCGCCTTAACCTCTAAATGTCTATTTTCTCCCTTCTCCAACTCATATCCATCTTTCCCTTATCCTCTAAATGACAAGTTTCTCCCTTCTCCACTTCCCTTCTATCCTTTCCTGTCATCTAAAGGGCAACTTTCTCCCTTCTCCAGCTCCCTTCCATCATTGCCTGTCCTCAAAGGAAAACATTTTCCCTTTCTCCCTTCCATCTTTGCCTTATCATCTAAATGGCAACTTTCTCTCTTCTCCAGCTCCCTTTCAAAGGACAACTTTCTCCCTTCTCCAGCTCCCTTCCATCTTTGCCTGTCTTCAGAGGCAGCTTTCTCTCTTCTCCAGCTCCCTTCCATCATCGCCTTATCTTCTCAATGTCTATTTTCCCCCTTCTCCAACTCACATCCATCTTTCCCTTATCCTCTAAATGACAACTTTCTCCCTTCTCCACTTCCCTTCAATCCTTGCGTGTTATCTAAAGGGCAACTATCTCCCTTCTCCAGCTCCCTTTCAAAGTTGCCTGTCCTAAAAGCACCACTTTCTCCTTTCAACTCCAGCCTTTGCCTAATCCCCTAAATGACAACTTTCTCCCTTCTCCAGCTCCCTTCTATCTTTGCCTGTCATCTAAAGGACAACGTTCTCCCTTCTCCAACTCCCATCTTTGCCTTATCCTCTAAGTGACAACTTTCTCCCTTCTCCATTTTTGTCTGTAATCTTAAGGGCAAGTTTCTCCCTTCTCCAGCTCCCTTCCATCTTTGCTTGTCCTCTAAAGGGCTGTAGTAAAAGTGAGATGCAGAACTTCCAGTTGCCGTCGCCATTCCCCAAAGTCCTGACACTTCTCTGCCCAAGAGTGCCGGGGCCTCACCGAACTGCAACTCCCAACCATGTTTGCGCTTCTGTTTGGTGGCAGATGGGGTGGAATCCCGGCGGCCCGTGGCCCACGAATGCCTCGGGGAAGCCCTGCGGATCCTCCGGCAGATTATCAGCAAATACCCACTGCTCAACACCCTGGAGACGTTGACCGCTGCTGGGACGCTCATCTCTAAAGTCAAAGGTCAGTAGGGCAGCTGGTTCTTTCCGTTCTGCTGGGGAACTAGAACTCCCAGGAGTATCGACTGGGAGACAGTGAAAAGGGAAACATTGGGGGTGATTTGGGTGCCCAAAATCTGTGCCCAAACAAGAAAGAGATCCCGAATAGATTACTGCAACGCGCTCTACGTGGGGTTGCCCTTGAAGACTGTTCGGAAATTGCAATTAGTCCAACGGGCGGCAGCTAGATTACTCACTGGAGCTTCATACAGGGAACATACCACCCCCCTGCTGTGCCAGCTCCACTGGCTGCCGATCCAATTCCAAGTACAATTCAAAGTGCTGGTCTTGACCTATAAAACCCTATATGGCTCCAGTCCAGCGTACCTGTCCAAATGTATCTCCTTCTATTTATTTCAGGCACTGGGCGGCTTACAACCGGCACAATTCGATGCCAACAATTCAACAAATAAAATACATAGCAGCAGTAATCACAAATAGTTAAAAACAATCAATTAATACAATAACAACTAAAAGAAAAACCAAACTAGTGGCTAACATTCACCGAGTTCTAAAAATCCGTAAATCCGTTCAGCATTACCATAGTCCTTTCCACATTCTGGTCATCATTACCTTGTCAGTCTGCCAGATTACCCAAAGGCCTGGTCCCATATCCATGTTTTCAGCTTGATGACCTAATTTCCCCGGGAAGTGAATTCCACAGGCGAGGGGCCACCACTGAGAAGGCCCTGTCCCTCGTCCCCACCAGCCTCACTTGTGATAGAGGCAGGGCTGAGAGCAGGGCCTCCCCAGAAGATCTTAAGCTCCGAGGTGGGATAAAGAAGGAGATACGTTTGGACAGGTACGCTGGGCCAGAGCCGTATAGGGTTTTATAGGTCAAAACCAGCACTTTGAATTGTGCTCGGAACTGGATTGGCAGCCAGTGGAGCTGACACAACAGAGGGGTGGTATGTTCTCTGTATAACACTCCGGTGATTAATCTAGCTGCCGCCCGTTGGACTAATTGAAGTTTCCGAACAGTTTTCAAAGGCAACCCCACGTAGAGCGCATTGCAGTAATCTATTCAGGATGTAACAAGAGCATGGACCACTGTGGCCAAGTCAGACTTCCCAAGGTACAGGCGCAACTGGCGCACAAGTTTTAATTGTGCAAAAGCTCTCCTGGCCACCGCACGTCTCACCTCGGAGTTTAAGATCTTCTGGGGAGACCCTTCTCTCAGCCCCGCCTTTGTCTCAAACACACTTGGCAGGGACGAGGGACGGGGCCTTCTCGGTGATGGCCCCCTGCCTGTGGAATTTGCTCCACGGGGAAATTAGGTCATCGTCATCCCTCCTCACCTTTAGAAAAAAGGTTAAAATGTGGCCTTCGGGCAATCAGGTTAAAGGACAATCGATAATGTTGACTATGGCATGGAAGAGGATTTGGATAAGTTAAGCGGAGTAATCATTAGTAGATGGCTAGCTAAACAGCCACCAGACGGGCATTAGCTAATCAGAGTGTAAGTATACTGTTTTAATATTTATTTATTAATGTTCATGTTTAATTGTTATATTTGTTATTCTGTATTTTATGAATTATTGCCAATTGTAAGCTGCCCTGAGTCCCCCCAAAAGTTGAGAAAGGCGGGGTAAAAATGTTCGAAATAAATAAAATAAATAATTTTGGGTCCTCCAGGTGAGATGCTTTATCAGTTGTCCTTGCATTTCGGATATACGCCACGTTAGCCCCGCAGGGAAGGGACACATTTGTACCATCTTGGTAAACAATAAGTGGATTCGAAGAGGAAGGGAGAAAGGAAGAAGCTGTCAAGTTTCGCTCTGCGCAGCCCAAAACATTTGTTCTCAGCTTCCTGCATCAGGAACCGCAGACACGAGTCTTAAAACGTCATCACACTAGAGAAAGAAATCCACTTAAAATCCAGTCTCTGCCTCCTGCAGAATTCTGGGGTTTGTAGTTTAGTGAGGTTGTTAAAGGCTTCTCACTAAACTACAAAGCCCAGAATTCTTCAGGAGGCAGCAACCGGATTTTAAGTGAATTATTTTCTCTAGTGTGACGACATAGTAAGAAGCAGAGTAATGCTTTTCCACCGCATTCCAAATTTTGGATGACTTTCCCTGTTTTCAGCTCCTGCAACACAATTTAGGGCAGTGTTTCTCAACCTTCCTTATGCCGCGACCCCTTAATACAGTTCCTCATGTTGTGGTGACCCCCCAAAATAACATTATTTCCGTTGCTACTTCACAACTGTAATTTTGCTACGGTTATGAATCATAGAATCATAGAATTGGAAGAGACCTCATGGGCCATCCAGTCCAACCCCCTGCCAAGAAGCAGGAATATTGCATTCAAAGCACCCCCAACAGATGGCCATCCAGCCTCTGTTTAAAAGCCTCCAAAGAAGGAGCCTCCACCACACTCCGGGGTGGAGAGTTCCACTGCTGAACGGCTCTCACAGTCAGGAAGTTGTTCCTAATCGTAATGTCAATATCTGATATGCAGGATGTATTTTCATTCACTGGACCAAATTGAGCACAAATACCCGATGCGCCCAAATTTGAATACTGGTGGGGTTGGCGGGAGGGTTTCTCATTTGGGAGTTGTAGTTGCTGGGATTTATAGTTCACCTACAATCAAAGAGCATTCTGAACTCCACAAACAATGGAATTGAACCAAACGTCCTACACAGAACTCCCATGACCAACAGAAAATACTGGAAGAGTTTGGTGGGCATTGACCTTGAGTTTGGGAGTTGTAGTTCACCTACATCCAGAGAGCACTGTGGACTTGAACAATGACAGATTTGGACCAAACTTGGCACAAATACTTAATATTCTCAAATATGAACACTGGTGGAGTTTGGGGAAAATAGACCTTGACATTTGGGAGTTGAAGTTACTGGGATTTATAGTTCACCTATAATCAAAGAGCATTCTGAACCCCACCAATGATAGAATTGGGCCAAACTTCCCACACAGAAGGGAATAGCTTGAAGGGAATAGCTGGCGTGAGACTCCCTCCAGCCAGCCTAACACACTTTCCCTTGCCCGCACATGTGCACCACGCTGCCATACCCAGAGCACGCCTGCTCTCCCCTCCCTCACTTGGAGTCTCAGAAACAGCCCATCCCTTGACTGAGAGGCTGACCAATCACAATGGAGGAGGGCTTTTGGTGGGAGGATTTGTCCTCTGTTTCCAAAAAGGAAGAGAGGGACAGGTTGAGAGAGCTTCAGCCTTCTCTGCCAAAGTGGTTCCTAAGACCATCAGAAATATATGTTTTCTCATGGTCTTTGGCGACCCCTCTGAAACCCCCTCGCGACCCCCCCTCCAGGGACCCCGACCCCCAAGTTGAGAAACATTGATTTAGGAGAGCCCGTGCTCCGATATTTTCTTTTTTTTCCCCTCCTTTTTTCAGGACACTTTGAACCTGATGAGCTACCACATCATTACACAATGCCTGCCATTTATTAAGATCCAATTTTAATATTTAATTTGCCTATCAATACATAATTTTAATTCTCTGCAGTGAAGTAAGCTCTAATGTTAAGTCCATTCAGCATGGGCTTCTGCAACATGAATTAGAAAATTCCTGCTCCAGATAGGTTTTTTGTTCCTTAGTACCCAATGAGCTTCCACATCATTATGTAATAGTTCCTGCAAACTATTAATATGAGACTACTGCTTTTTGCTCAAATGGTCCCAATATTCTTGCTAAATATTGAATCAAAACACCGAAGGAAGCTTTTAATTAGAAATACAGGAGCCCCCAACTATGTCCAACGTTTATTAAGATCCAATTTTAATATTTAATCAGTCTATTAACACATAATTTTAGTTCTCTGCAGTCGATTAAGCTCTAATGTTTATCCAATTCAGCAAGGGCTCATGCAATGTGAACTGGAAAATTCCTGCTCCGGATATGTTTTTTGTTCTTTTTTAGGACACTTTGAAACCAATGAGCTTCCACATCGTTATGTAATAGTTCCTGCATACTATTAATATGAGACTACGGCTTTTTGCTCAAGTGGTCCCAATATTCTTGCTAAATATTGAATCAAAATACCGAAGGAAGCTTTTAATTAGAAATACAGGAGCCCCCAACTGCGTCCAATGTTTATTAAGATCCAATTTTAATATTTAATCAGTCTATTAACACATAATTTTAGTTCTCTGCAGTCGATTAAGCTCTAATATTTACTCCATTCAGCAAGGGTTCCTGCAATGTGAATTGGAAAATTCCTGCTCCGGATATGTTTTTCGTTCCTTTTTAGGACACTTTGAAACCAATGAGCTTCCACATCGTTATGTAATAGTTCCTGCAAACTATTAATATTAAACCACTGCTTTTTGCTCAAGTGGTCCCAATATTCTTGCAAAATACTGAATCAAAACACCGAAGGAAGCTTTTAATTAGAAATACAGGAGCCCCCAACTATGTCCAATGTTTATTAAGATCCAGTTTTAATATTTAATCAGTCTATTAACACATAATTTTAGTTCTCTGCAGTCGATTAAGCTCTAATGTTTACTCCATTCAGCAAGTTCTCCTGCAATGTGAATTGGAAAATTCCTGCTCTGGATATGTTTTTTGTTCCTTTTTAGGACACTTTGAAACCAATGAGCTTCCACATTGTTATGTAATAGTTCCTGCAAACTATTAATATTAAACCACTGCTTTTTGTTCAAGAAGCTGCAATATTCTTGCTAAATATTGAATCAAAACACCGAAGAAAGCTTTTAATTAGAAATATAGCAGCTCCCAACTGCGTCCAATGTTTATTAAGATCCAATTTTAATATTTAATCAGTCTATTAACACATAATCTTAGTTCTCTGCAGTCGATTAAGCTCTAATGTTTACTCCATTCAGCAAGGGCTCCTGCAATGTGAATTGGAAAATTCCTGCTCCGGATATGTTTTTTGTTCTTTTTTAGGACACTTTGAAACCAATGAGCTTCCACATTTTTATGTAATAGTTCCTGCAAACTATTAATATTAAACCACTGATTTTTGTTCAAGAAGCTGCAATATACTTGCTGAAAATTGAATCAAAACACTGAAGGAAGCTTTTAATTAGAAATACAGGAGCCCCCTGCTATGTCCAACGGTGCTGGGTATTGAGACTTGGTTTCGGGGTTGGTTTCGGGGAGCGAGAAATATCCTTTTTCCTTCTTTCCCTTGCGTTCCGTCCCAGGTTTCCATTACGAAAACAACAACGAAGCTGAGAAAAGGGAATTCGAGAAGGCCGTGGAAATGATTGCCGTTTCCTTCAGCAGCACGTAAGCAAATGGCTGGATGGAAATGCCTTTAAGAAAGGGGTTCCGCGAGGCCACCCAGTCCCTCCTTGCTGCACAGTTCCCCAAAAGGATAGGGAGGTGCCAAAATAACAAAACTTCCTGACTTTGGCTCCTCTTTCTGGACTTTTTAGAGTTTCCGAATTCCTCATGGGCGAAGTCGACTGCAGCACCATCCTCTCCATACCGCCCAGTGATGCGAACCAGGTAAGCGATCCCCCACCCCCATTTTGCATCCCGAATCAACACATGCCGCCATCCTGGGTTAAGGAAAACATGGATACGTTTTCTTATTTCCAGTCAATGGAAAACCTGTATGGTGGGATCCCTGGCCAAGGCACAGAAATAATGTCTGACCGCTCCGAAGACTTCAGTTCGCGTAAGTCTAGTTTTTTGAGGACCTAATGATGCCGAAAGAGAGAACACTTCCCTATACATTTGTATCTACTCTTGTTGGAACCACTGCCCGCCTGCTTTCCCCCTTCTCCAGCTCACAATGACACCAGGAGGTCTTTGTGGCTCGTTTCTTTCCTTCCTCATACTCTTTGTCCCCTTTTGTTCTCTTTTCCTTCCCTTTCTCTTATTTCTCTTTCCTTCTTCCCTCTTTTCTTTCTCCTCCTTCCCTCCCTCCTTTTCTTTCTTTCTCTCCTTTCCTCCCTTCTCTTATTCTTTCTTTCCTGTCTTTTTCTCATTCCTTTTTCCCTTCCCCTACATACACATTTATTTATTTCCTATATTTATACCCCACCCTTCTCCCCACCGACACATCACCTAGCAGCAGCCACCACTTCACTCTTACTTTCCCAGTGATGTCACAGAGGGCCACTTCACCCAGCCAACCCAGTAACATCACAGAGGATCACTTCACCTAGCAGCCAACCCCACACTTCACAACAGCGAATCCAGTAACAACACAGAGAGCCACTTCACCCAGCCAATCCTTGATCTAGCTAATCCAGTAACATCACGGAAGACCACTTCACCTAGCCACAACCAACCCCACACTTCACAACAGCSAATCCAGTAACAACACAGAGGGCCACTTCACCCAGCCAATCCCTGATCTAGCTAATCCGGTAACATCACGGAAGACCACTTCACCTAGCCACAACCAACCCCACACTTCACAACAGCCAATCCAGTAACAACACAGAGAGCCACTTCACRCAGCCAATCCTTGATCTAGCTAATCCAGTAACATCACGGAAGACCACTTCACCTAGCAACAACCAACCCCACACTTCACAACAGCCAATTCAGTAACATCACAGAGGGCCACTTCACCTAGCCAACCCTTCACCTAGCAACAGCTAATCCAGTAACATCACAGAAGACCACTACACCTAGCAACAACCAACCCTACACTTTGCAACAGCCAATTCAGTAACATATCAGAGGGCCACTTCACCTAGCAGCAGCCAATCAGTAACATCACAAAGGGCCACTTCACCTAGCTAATCCTTCACCTAGCAACAGCTAATCCAGTAACATCACAGAGGACCACTTCACCTAGCAACAACCAACCCTACATTTCGCAACAACCAATTCAGTAACATCTCAGAGGGCCACTTCACCTAGAAGCAGCCAATCAGTAACATCACAAAGGGCCACTTCTCCCAGCCAATCCTTCACCTAGCAACAGCTAATCCAGTAACATCACAGAGGACCACTTCACCTAGCAACAACCAACCCTACATTTCGCAACAACCAATTCAGTAACATCTCAGAGGGCCACTTCACCTAGAAGCAGCTAATCCAGTAACATCACAGAGGACCACTACACCTAGCAACAGCCAACCCTACACTTTACCACAGTCAATCCAGTAATATTACAGAGGACCACTTCACCTGGCAACAACCAACCCTACGCTTCACCACAGCCAATCAAGTGACACCCCAGCGGGCCACTTCACCTAACAGCAGACTTTGTGGGGCAATCGGACAGACAAACAAAGAAACATGGATTCTTCACCTTCCATATATAGACATTAGAATGGAACGGGAGAGTTAAATGATGGGTTATTTCCAGTACAAAATGAAAACGCTCAGGATTTGTATGACTTATGCGGTTTCTTCCCAATGCCTCCTTTGCAGTCCGCCTGTCAGCCGAAGAGGTGGACGTCCTCCTTCAAAAATGCGAGGGAGGGATGGCCTTTGCCCTGAAATACGCCAAGAACATCTCCAAATACATGAAGGATCTCATTTACTACTTGGAGAAGAGGACGACCCTGGGTGAGGAAAGGCGGCGGTGGGGAGCCCTCAGTCTTAAACACACAGTTCACTTTGATACAGCCCCATATTTTGAATACTTTTATACAAAGCCCGTATGCATCAAGCCACCGGAAAGCAAAGGCGACACTCGGCCATCTGCTCCAAAGTTTGGATTTTGGAGTCCAATTGCTCCGAAGGGCTCCTGCAACATGAATTGGGAGATTCCTACTCTGGATATTATTGTTTGTTTAATTTTTTGGGACACTTTTGACACCAATGAGTTTCCACACCATAATGTAAAAGTGTCTGCAATCTGTTAAGATCCATTTTTAATGCTTACTCAGAAGGAGGTCGATTCAGCAAGAGCTCGTGCAACATGAATTGGAAAATTCCTACTCTGGATATTATTATTGGTTTAATTTTGGGGACATTTTGACACCAATGAGTTTCCACATCATAATGCAAAAGTGTCTGCAATCTGTTAAGATCTAATTTTAATGCTTATTCAGAAGGAAGTCAATTCGGCAAGGGCTCGTGCAGCATGAAGTGGAAGATTACTACTTTGGGTGTGTGTTATTGTTTGTTTTTTTTTTCCTTCTCGGGACACTTTGGCACTGACAACTTTCCTCATAGTTCCTCTAGTTTATTAATATGTAATTATTTCTCCCAACAACTGAAACATAAATAGCAAAGGAAGCTTTTAATTAAAAATACAATAGCCCACAACTCTCTTACTATACAAGTTGTTGAGACAAATGGTCCTGTTTCTCCCTTTTTTCCACAGAGATGGAGTTTGCCAAAGGGCTCCAAAAGATGGCAAATACCTGCAAGCAGACCATAACGCAGGAGGTATGGCGGCGAGATGAAAGAGGGACACAACTAATAATAATAATAATAATAATAATAATAATAATAATAATAATACATCACACAGTCCTAGATGCTTGGGAAGTGTTCGACTTGTGATTTTGTGATGCGAAATCCAGCATATAGATCTCGTTTGCTGTGACATACTGTGCTTTTGTGTCAATAATAATAATAGTAATAATAGTAATCATCATCATCATCATCATTGCCCCTGGTCTTGCAGCCCCACATGCCGTTTCTTTCAATCTATTCGTTGGCGCTGGAACAAGACACCGAATATGCTGTGAGCTCCCTCCATTCCTCTGTCACTTTGCGGATGGAGACGTTCTTGCAAGTAAGGAGTAAAATTCATATTTATTATCTACTACCTTGGGTACTCAGCGTTGCCCGGGTTACTTGAAAAAGTCGTTTTTTAATTGTCCAAAATGCATAAGGCTGTGGGTGAACTACAACTCACATCATGCCAGGTTAACCCCCTGAAACTCCATCAGTACTTAACGTTTGTGATGTTGGGCAAATTTGCTCTAGTTGCATCATCAGTGGGGTTCAGTGTGCTATTTGGCTACATGGTAAACTACAACTCCCACTATAGTGAGTCAGTCCCTTCAAACCCATCCAGTAGGTTGAGGTAGTCATGGGAGTTCTGCGTGTCAAGTTTGATCATCGTTTCTCTGGTTGTGGGTGAACTACAACTCCCAGAAAGAAAGGTCAGTCCCCCCCCCCCCACCCCAAACCCCCAAGTAATCAAATTTCAGCATATCAGGTCTGTGTGCCAATATTGGTCCAGATCTATCGGTGTTTGGGTTCACAGTGCGCTCTGGATGTAGGTGAACTACAACTCCCCTAAACCAAGGTGAATTTTCCCCAAAGACCTCCAGTATTTCTTACTGGTCATGGGGGCTCTGTGTGCCAAGTTTAGTCCATAAGGTTGTGAGTGAACTACAACTCACATCATGCCAGGGTAACCCCGAAAAACTCTTTATCAGTACTTAAAGTTTGTTATGCTGGGCAAGTTTACTCTACATGAATCACTGGTGAGCTTCAGTGTTCTCTGTGGCTGCAGGGTAGACTACAACTCCCACTATGGAGAGTCAGTCCCCTCCAACTCCTCCAGTAGGTTGAGTTAGTCATTGGGGTTCTATGTGCTAACTTTGGACCAGGTCCATCATCAGTGGTGGTCACAGCTTCTCTGATTGTGGGTGAACTATAACTCTCAACAAAGGTCATCCCCCCCCCCCCCCCAAGTAATCAAATTTTGGTATATCAGGTCTGTGTGCTGTGGTCCAGATCTATCGGTGTTTGGGTTCACAGTGCACTCTGGATGTAGGTGAACTACAACTCCCCCAAACCAAGGTGAATTTTCCCCAAAGACCTCCAGTATTTCTTACTGGTCATGGGGGTTCTGTGTGCCAAGTTTAGTCCAGTTCTATCTTTGGTGGAGTTCAGAGTGTTCATTGATTGCAGGTGAGCTATAAATCCCAGTACCTACAACTCCAAAATGTCCAGACCAATTCATCTCCAAACCCACCAGTATTCAAATTTGGGCATATTCAGTATGTATGCCAAGTTTGGTCCAGATCCTTCTTTGCGTTCATAGTGCGCTCTGGATGTAGGTGAACTACAACTCCTATAAATCCCTCGAAAGACCTCCAGTATTTTTGTTGGTCACAGGGGTTCTGTGTGCCAAGTTAGTTCCAAGTCCATCACTGGTGGAGTTCAGAGTGTATCTAGATTGCAGGTGAACTATACATCCCAGAATCTACAACTCCTATAAATCATGGTGAATTCTCCCCCAAAACTCTCTAGTATGTTCAGTTGCTAATCAATTCCTCTATTTCCTGTGTGCCATAGAAAAGAATAGGAAAGGATTAAGGGAGAGGCAGTGGGCGGAGTCATGCAAATTCCACACCAACGGAGAGTGTCAGAAACACTGGGATGTCTGTGGTGGAGGAAACACATAAAATCCAGGATGACATTGTTCCCGTATGAAAGCCTTCAGTTGGGTAGTGGGGAGTGTGGTGTTCGTGGAGGACATTGGCAGGGCTCTTGGACATGTTCATGGCGCTCACTATAACCTGCAATGTCATTGGAGGGAGGGCCATTGGTGTCTCCTGAGTAGTGGGAGCTAGAGCTCTTTGTGGAGGAAGGAGCTTGTCTGTGTAAGTGGCTTTGCAGGGAAGTTGTTGGAATGATTGGGACTCTTATATCTTCATTGCAGCCACTGCAAACGAGGCGCCTGGAGCACGAAAAGCGTCGGAAGGAGATCAAGGAGCAATGGGGCCGAGCCCAACGGAAACTGGTGGGACATTTGGGGAGGTGGTTGTTATCCTAGATCAGGCTAGGGAACTTAGAGAGGCCAATAGACTGCCAACTTGAGGATGCTTGCCATAGATGCAGGCGAAACGTCAGGAGAGAATGCTTCTAGAACATGGCCATATAGCCCGAAAAAACCTACAACAACCCAGACTGCCAACTGTTTACATAATTTGCAGCAAATCAAGGAGGAAGAGGGGAGAGAAACCGGGATGTTTTAAAATTCCATAGAAATGGAGAGAGTCAGAAACACTGGGATGTCTGTGGTGGAGGAAACACATGAAATCTAGGATGGAATAATCCAAAATGAAATGGGGATCAATTGGGAGGAGTGTGGAAGACCCGGGTTCGCCAACTTCCTTCCAAAGATGGAAGTGAGCTGGAGAAGGGAGAAAGTTACCTGTTTAGGACAGGCAAAAATGAAAGGGAGCTGGAGAAAGGAGAAAGTTGTCATTTAGAGGACAGGCAAAGATGGAAGTGAGCTAGAGAAGGAAGGAAGTTACCTGTTTAGAACAGGCAAAGATGGAAGGGAACTGGAGAAGGAGGAAAGTTGTCATTTAGAGGATAGGGCAAAGATAGAAGGGAGATGGGAGAAGGGAGAAAGTTGCCTGATACAACAGGCAAAGATGGAAGGGAGCGGGAGAAAGGTGCCCTTTAGAGTACAGGCAAAGATGGAAGGGAGCTGGAGAAGGAAGAAAGTTGCGCGTTTAGGACAAGCAAAGATGGAAGCTGGGGAAGGGAGAAAGTTGCCCATTTAGGACAGGCAAAGATGGAAGGGAGCTGGAGAGGGGAGAAAGTTGTCATTTAGAGTATAAGTCAAAGATAGAAGGGAGCTAGAGTAGGGAGAAAGTTGCCCATTAGAGGACAGGCAAAGATGGAAGGGAGCTAGAAAGGGGAGAACGGACAGGAAATGATGGAAAGGGGCTGGAGAAGGGAGAATGTTGCCCTTTGCCTGTTCTCTAGACTCCCAGTCTAGTTTTCATAGGTTTTGAGGACCCAACGTGGGTTTATTTCTCCTTCCCAGCAAGAGGCCGAAAACAATTTGCGGAAAGCCAAGCAGGTCTACATGCAGCGCTCAGAGGAGAGTGAAAAGGCCAAAAATGTGACAGCCAAAGCCGAGGAGGAGCAAATGGGGTCTGGGGTTGGGGGAAGCAGCGTCGGAGGGACCGGAGCTGTCACCAACAAGGCCCTGGAGAAGAAGCGGCGGCTGGAGGAAGAAGCCAGGAACAAGGCCAGTTCATATTTTGGGGGAAGTGGGTGGGGGACAACTATGTGGTCTTTATGAGTAGGATTTCACCCTACATCTTTGGGGTGCCGTTTCCAGGCCGAGGAAGCCATGGCAACGTACCGGACATGCATTGCCGATGCCAACACGCAGCGGCAGGAATTGGAGGACACCAAAGTCACGTCGCTGAGGCAGATCCATGAAGTGGTCAAGCAGAGCGACCAGATCATCAAGTCGGTATGTCCGAGGATCGATCAGAGAGCGAACCATCTATATTTGAACGCCAAACTGTGATGATACAATGCTATGGAATCCAAGGACTTTGGACTTGACACTCTTTTGGCTGACATTGAACATCAGAGTTTTTGCCCTTTGAAGCAGTTGAAGCCAACTGAGGACAAAGGCGGGAGGAAGCGAAGGAAACCGTAGAAAAGCCGGGGGGGGGGGGATGGAAAGGCAGAGGAGTAATGGGTGTCAATACCAGCACATGTCTCGCCTCTTTCTTCCATTAACATCTCTTTTCTTACTTCTGCAGGCCACCATTTCATTCTATCAAACCATGCACATGCAGACAGCGCCGCTGCCTGTCTACTACCAGACGCTGTGCGAAAGCAGTAAGCTCTACGACCCGGGTCAGCAGTATGCATCCCACGTCAAGCGGCTGCAGCGGGAAGACGAGCCAGAGATGCAGTACGACTTTGAGCCCTACGTTTCTCACAACTGGTATGAGTTGCGAACCCCACACCGGCCATTCTTTCTGGGCCTCAGCCTCTCGCAAGCATGAGGGTTTGCAGATCTCAGGATAGAGCCCCAAAAGGAGTGCAAAATTAATGTGGTTCGACGCCAGTGGCTACAAAAGGTGAAGGTCTTTGTGTAAGATTACCATTCCCAGGAATGAGCAAAAAAGCACACTCATTCTGCAGGATAGATACACACTTATTGCAATCATTTCGCAAGGTTTTCTTGGATGAGGAAGACCCCAAAAGGACATTTTGGATAATGTATTGTCGAAGGCTTTCATGGCTGGAATCACTAGGTTCCTCACTACCTCTGAGGATGCTTGCCATAGATGCAGGCGAAACGTCAGGAGAAATGCCTCTAGAACATGGCCCTATAGCCCGAAAAAACCCACAAGAACCTACATTTTGGATAGTTCCAAAATAGACTGAAAACAACTCCCAGGACTCTGAAGCAATGAGCCGGTGGCGTCAAAAGCGCACTCATTCTGCAGGATAGATGCACGCTTATTGCGATCATTTCATAGGGTTTCCTTGGGTGAGGATGACCCCAAAAGGGCATTTTGGATAGTTCCAAAATAAATTGAAAACAACTCCCAGGACTCTGCAGCAATGAGCCGGTGGCGTCAAAAGCGCACTCATTCTGCAGGATAGATGCACGCTTATTGCAATCATTCCAAAGAGTTTCCTTGGGTGAGGATGACCCCAAAAGGGCATTTTAGATAGTTCCAAAATAGATTGAAATCAGCTCCCAAGACTCTGTAGCAATGAGCTGGTGGTGTCAAAAGCGCACTTATTCTGCAGGATAGATGCACGCTTATTGCAATCATTTCATAGGGGTTTTTTTGGATGAGACCCCAAAAAGATCATTATTTTGGATAGTTCCAAAATAGATTGAAAACAACTCCCAGGACTCTGCAGCAATGAGTCGGTGGCGTCAAAAGCGCACTTATTCTGCAGGATAGATGCACACTTATTGCGATCATTTCATAAAGTTTTTTTGGATGGGACCCCAAAATATCATTATTTTGGATAGTTCCAAAATAGATTGAAATCAGCTCCCAGGACTCTGTAGCAATGAGCTGGTGGTGTCAAAAGTGCACTCATTCTGCAGGATAGATGCCTGCTTATTTTGTAGGATTTTCTTGGATGAGAAAGTTCCCAAAGGGTTGTTTTGGATAGTTCCAAAATAGATTGAAATCAACTCCCAGGACTCTGCAGCATTGAGAAAGGGGCATCGAAAGCGCACTCATTCTGCAGGATAGATGCGCACTTATTGTGATCATTTTGTAGGATTTTCTTGGATGAGGAAGACCCCGAAAGCTCATTTTGGATAGTTCCAGAATCCGTCAGCACATACACAGCAATGGTTTTTGAGATCTGTCCATGGCTCTTTCCTGTGACAGGTCTCCAATTGGACGGACGCGGAAAGGTAGCTGCAACGCCAGCGAATTTGCACCAGGAAGCGGCACAGATGTGGCTGGCAGTGGCAAAGATGGAGAACGGCGAGGTGAGCCAGCGACATTACAGCTTGAAGCACTCTTAAATGCCCCTTCCGAGGCTAGCATTTTGGGCCTTGACCTTGCCACTGTGGGACTTGGGGCATTTGGGAATTCCGCTTCCCATCATGCCGATTTGGGGGTGACGGGAGTTGTTGGCTGGAATCGAGCGGCTGTTGAGGCAAATGATGCTGTTTCTTGGATGCCTCTGCAAAGGTGGCCTGCATCAGCTTGTTGTTGTTCATTCGTTCAGTCGTCTCCGACTCTTCGTGACCTCATGGACCAGCCCACGCCAGAGCTCCCTGTCGGCCGTTACCATCCCCAGCTCCCTCAAGGTCAGTCCAGTCACTTCAAGGATGCCATCCATCCATCTTGCCCTTGGTCGGCCCCTCTTCCTTTTGCCTTCCACTTTCCCCAGCATCATTGTCTTCTCTAGGCTTTCCTGTCTCCTCATGATGTGGCCAAAGTACTTCAACTTTGTCTCTAGTATCTTTCCCTCCAGTGAGCAGTCGGGCTTTATTTCCTGGAGGATGGACTGGTTGGATCTTCTCGCAGTCCAAGGCACTCTCAGAACTTTCCTCCAACACCACAGCTCAAACGCATCGATCTTCCTTCGCTCAGCCTTCCCTAAGGTCCAGCTCTCACATCCGTAGGTTACTACAGGGAATACCATGGCTTTGACTAGGCGGATCTTTGTTGCCAGTCTGATGTCTCTACTCTTTACTATTTTATCGAGATTGGACATTGCTCTCCTCCCAAGAAGTAAGCGTCTTCTGATTTCCTGGCTGCAGTCTGCATCTGCAGTAATCTTTGCACCTAGAAATACAAAGTCTGTCACGGCCTCCACGGTTTCTCCCTCTATTTTCCAGTTGTCAATCATTCTTGTTGCCATAATCTTGGTTTTTTTGACGTTTAGCTGCAACCCAGCTTTTGCGCTTTCTTCTTTCACCTTTATTAGAAGGCTCCTCAGCTCCTCCTCGCTTTCGGCCATCGAGTGGTGTCATCTGCATATCTGAGGTTGTTAATGTTTCTTCCAGCAATTTTCACCCCAGCTTTGCATTCATCAAGCCCCGCACATCGCATGATGTGTTCTGCATACAAGTTAAAAAGGTTGGGTGAGAGGATGCAGCCTTGCCGTACGCCTTTCCCAATCTTGAACCAGTCCGTTGTTCCGTGGTCAGTTCTGACTGTTGCTACTTGGTCCTTGTACAGATTCCTCAGGAGAGAGACAAGGTGGCTTGGGATGCCCATCCCACCAAGAACTTGCCACAATTTATTATGATCCACACAGTCAAAGGCTTTAGAATAGTCAATGAAGCAGAAGTAGATGTTTTTCTGAAACTCCCTGCCTTTCTCCATTATCCAGCGGATATTGGCAATTTGGTCTCTCGTTCCTCTACCCAGCTTGAACATCTGGCAACTCTCGCTCCATGTATTGCTGGAGTCTTCCTTGCAGGATCTTGAGCATTACCTTACTGGCATGAGAAATAAGGGCCACTGTACGGAAGTTTGAGCAGTCTTTCGCATTTCCCTTTTTTGGTATGGGGATATAAGTTGATTTTTTCCAGTCTGATGGCCATTCTTGTGTTTTCCATATTTGCTGGCAAATGGCATGCATCACCTTGACAGCATCATCTTTTAAGATTTTAAACAGTTCAGCTGGGATCCCGTCATCTCCTGCTGCCTTGTTGTTAGCAATGCTTCTTAAAGGCCCATTCAACCTCACTCCTCAGGATGTCTGGTTCTAATTCATTCACCACACCGTCAAAACTATCCTCAATATTATTATCCTTCCTATACAGATCTTCTGTATAGTCTCGCCACCTTTTCTTGATCTCTTCAGCTTCTGTTAGGTCCCTGCCATCTTTGTTTCTTATCATGCCAATTTTTGCCTGAAATTTACCTCCAATGTTTCTAATTTTCTGGAAGAGGTCTCTTGTCCTTCCTATTCTGTTGTCTTCTTCCACTTCCATGCATTGCTTATTTAAAAATAGTTCCTTATCTCTTCTGGCTAACCCCTGGAATTGCGCATTTAACTGGGCATATCTCCCCTTATCCCTGTTTCCTTTTGCTTTCCTCCTTTCTTGGGCTACTTCCAGTGTCTCAGCAGACAACCATTTTGCCTTCTTGGTTTTCTTTTTCTTTGGGACGTACTTTGTTGCCGCCTCCTGAACAATGTCTCGGACTTCTGTCCATAGTTCTTCTGGGACTCTGTTTACTAAATCTAGTCCTTCAAATCTGTTCTTCACTTCCACTGTATATTCGCTAGGAATGTTAGTGAGATCATATCTAACTGGTCTGTGTATTTTCCCTGATCTCTTTAGTTTTATTCTAAATTGGGCAATAAGAAGTTCGTGATCTGAGCTGCAGTCAGCCCCAGGTCTTGTTTTCACCGACTGGATGGATGTCCGCCACCTTTGGCTGCAAAGGATGTAGTCAATCTGATTTCGGTGTTGACCATCTGGTGAGGTCCATGTATAAAGCCGTCTTTTAGGTTGTTGGAAGAGAGTATTCGTTATACACAGCGAGTTTCCTGGCAAAATTCTATCAGCCTGCGTCCCGCTTCATTTTGTTCTCCCAGACCATGCTTGCCTGTGATCCCAGTTGTCATTTGACTTCCCACCTTGGCATTCCAGTCTCCTGTAATGAAAATAATGTCTCTTTTTGGTGTATTATCCAGTAGGTCCTGCAGATCCTCATAGAACTGATCTACTTCTGCTTCTTCAGCAGCTGTGGTTGGGGCTTATATTTGGATCACTGTAATGTTGAAAGGCTTTCCTTGCACTCGAATTGAGATCATTCTGTCATTTTTTGGGTTGTATCCAAGCACCGCTTTAGCGAATTTCTTATTAATTATGAAGGCTACTCCATTTCTTCGATGTTCCTCTTGTCCGCAGTAGTAGATCTGGTGGTCATCTGATGTGAAGTGGCCCATTCCCGTCCACTTCAGTTCGCTGACCCCCAGAATGTCTATCTTTAGTCTTGACATCTCGCCAATAACAACATCCAATTTGCCCTGGCTCATAGATCTTACATTCCAGGTTCCTATGGTGTGTTGATCTTTAGAGCATCGGATTCGTCGTTCACCTCCATACGTCGGCCGCTAGCCTTCCTTTCGGCTTTGAGCTAGCTGCGTCATCACATCTGGGGCTAGTTGAACTTATCCTCTGCTCCTCCCCAGTAGCATTTTGGCCATCTTTCCGACCTGGGAGTCCCATCTTCCAATGGCATACCGACATATCTCTGGTTGTACTGGTCCATTTAGTTTTCTTGGCAAGGATACTGGAGTGGTTTGCCATTGCCTTCCCCAGGGATCACGCTTGGTCTGACCTCTCTGCCACAACCGTCCCGTCTTGGGTGGCCCTTCACGGTTTCGCTCATGACATCATTGAGGTGCTCAAGCTCCAGCGCCCCGACAAGGCGGTGATCCTTTGCTGGAGCTGCATCAGCTTAGGAGGGGGAAATGTGGCTTCCTGGAGTCCTGGGAGTTACAGTTTTCTAATCGCAACACTTATGCTTGGCCTCCCCAGGTGGACGAGGCCACCAGGTGCACAAATCCTGGCCGACGGTCATTGCGGAGACCAAGGACCACCCAGAGTCCACTGCTAGTAGCTCAGGTAGATACAGTCCACTCGAATCATGTTGTCTTCAAACTACACTGCGATTGAATGCAATTTGATGCCACTTTATTGCTGTGCGATCTGAAGAGTTGTTATTTCGAACCTCATCCCTGCCAAGGTTTTTTTTTACTTAATTCTGGGGTTGCTTTCTTGGGCAGGCGAGTTTCCAGCCAAGTTCCCAGCAATACCTTCGAACGGATCTTTCTCCCCCGGCGAAGAGTCAGACGGAAACTCCCCGTCGTTCGAGCAAAGTGAGTATGGTGGATGGCATCTGTACGGGGTGTTTTGATGATGCTTTTCCTGCCTGGCCTGAGGTTGGACTAGATGGCTCCTGTGGTCTCCTCCAACTCTATGCTACTATGTTGCCAAGTTTCTGAAAGGAGGAATGAATCCTCTGCAGTCCCATTTTCCTAGCTGCTTTAAAAACGGCCCAGTTTCTCTCTCTTCCTCCTTGGCCTTGCTGCAAAGCAGACATTTTTGTCCTTCCTGCAGAACTGGTCTCTTTTTCCTCATTCAGTGCTATGAGTATCTTGACCATACTTCTGGGAAGAAGGGAAGGAAGGCAAGGCAAGGAAGGAAGAAGGGCAGAGGGGAGGATAGGGAGGAAGGAAGGAAAAAAAGAGTAAAGAAAGAAGAGAAAGGAAAGAGGGGAGGGAGGGAGGAAAAGAAGAAGGAGAAAGATGACAGGAAGAGAAGGAGAGAGAGAACGGAAGGAATAAAAGGGGGAACGACAGAAGGAGGATGACAGGAAGAAGAGAAAGAAAGGAGAGAATAAAAGAAGGGAAGGAGGAAAGAAAAAAAGAAAGGAGGAGGGTGATAGGAAGAGAGGGAAAGAGAGAAGGAAAGGAGGCAATAAAAGGAAAGAAGGAGGGAAGAAGGAAGGAAAGGGAAAATGATAGGAAGAAAGGGAAGGGGAGGAAGAAAGGAAGGAAGAAATAAAAGAAGGGAAGGAGGAAAGAAGAAAGTAGGAGGATGCTAGGAAGTAAGAGAGGGAAGACGAGAGAGGAAGAAAGGAGGGACTAAAAGGAGGGAGGGAAGGAGGAAGATGACAGGAAGGACAAGTGGGAAGGAGAGAAAGTAAGGAGGGAATAAAAGAAGGGAAGGAGGAAAGGAAGTATGATGGGAATAGAAGGAAAGAGAGAGAGGAAGTGAGGAGGGAATAAAAGGAAAGAGGGAGGGAAGAAGGAAGGAAGGAGGAAGATCATAGGAAGAAAGGAAAGGAGAGGAAGAAAGGAGGGAATAAAAGAAGGAGAGAAAAGAAGGAAGAAAGGAGGATAAGAAGAGAGGGAAGGAGAGAGAGATGAAGAAAGGAGGAGATAAAAGGAAAGAGGGAGGGAAGAAGGAAGGAAGAAGTTAGAAAGAGGGAAGGAAAGAAAGGAGGGAATAAAAGAAAGGAAGGAGGAAAGAAGAATGATAGGAAGGAAGAGAGGAAAAGAGAGAAAGGAAGAAAAGAGGTAATAAAAGGTGGGAAGCATTGAGAGAGGAAGCTGGGAAAAAAGGAAGGTGGAAGAAGACAATAGAGAAGCAGGGAAGAAAGGAATGACAAACCAAAACCACAGCTAGATACTCAGACCCTTTGACTGCCCCAGTTTGGAGATTCCCAATTCCTCCTCTCCCTTCCCACGCTCTTATCTGCTCTTCAAAAGTCCTGGTTTCCCCACTTGGCCTTGACGTAAGGCTATTAACGGCAAGTTTGGTCCGAGAACAGAGATGTAATTAAGGACTGGTTGCGAATCTTCCTCTCTTTTCTTCCTTTTCTAGGCATCCAGGAGATGAGCCCAGGGGGGATCTCCGCAGCCACCGGCCCTTTCCGCCACGTCGGCTTGTCCAAAGCGGCCCAGACGCACCGGCTACGGAAGCTGCGCACCCCTTCCAAGTGCCGCGAGTGCAACAGCTATGTCTACTTCCAAGGAGCTGAGTGCGAGGAGGTACGGGAGGATCAGGGTTCCAATCCTGGCTGAGAGAGCGTGCCTTTTGCCCAAGGTCATTCCTAGTGGGTTTCCATGGCCTTAGAAGAAGACAAGGGCCATCTCACCCCATCTCACTGAACAAATCTTGCCAAGACCCCATGATAGGGTCACCTTGCGGGTTTCCATATGTCAGAAATGGCATCATGTTATTTTGTAGTGAAAACTTTTGCTTTGTTGCACATCCATTTTTCTGCCCCAGTAAACCCCATACTCCCATGACCAAGAGAAAATACTGGAAGGGTTTGGTGGGCATTGACCTTGCATGTGGGAATTATAGCTCACTTACATCCAGAGAGCACTGTGGACTCAAATAATGAAAGATCTGGACCAAACTTGGCACGAATACTCAATATGCCCAAAGGTGAACACTGGTGGAGTTGGGGGGAAATAGACCTTCCAAAAGAGCTTCCTATGAACATCAGAAATATAGGTTTTCTGATGGTCTTTGGTGACCCCTCTGAAACCCCCTCATGGGTTCCGACCCCCAGGTTGAGAAACACTGATGTATACTTTTTTTTCTTGTTATCTTTTGCTCCTCCTCTTCTTTGTCTGCTTTTTTTCCTTCCTTCCCCCTTCCTTCCCTCCATCCTTTTCCCATACTTCCTCTCTTCCGTCTTCCCTTCCTTCCATCTTTCTTCTCTCTCACTCTCTTCCTCATTTCCTATAAGATGGTTTTGAAAGACAGCAGATTACAAGAGTTGTCTTCATAGACCTGTCAGCGGCTTATGATACTGTAAATCATCGCCTTCTCCTGAAAAAAAAAAAATATCACGAAGGATTACTACCTCACCGACTTCATAGAAAATCTGCTACAAAACAGGAGCTTTTTTGTTGAGTTCCAGGGTCAGAGAAGCAGATGGCGAAAACAGAAGAATGGCCTGCCTCAAGGGAGCATGCTTGATCCATCAGGGTTTAACATTTAAGCAAATGATCAGGCACTGCCAGAAGGGACAGAGAGCTTCATCTATGCTGACGATCATGCCACCACCGCTCAAGCCAGGGAGCTTTGAAATGGTTGAACAGAAGCTCTCCAATGCTTTAGGTGCTCTTTCTGCCTATTACAGGGAAAGGCAGCTGATTGCTAATCCATCTAAAATGCAGATGTATGCTTTTCACCTTAATAACAGACAAGCATCTTGAGCTCTGATGATTACCTGGGAAGGAATCCCACTGGAACATTGCTGCACACCGAAATACCTGGGAGTTACCCTGGACCGTTCTCTGACTTACAAGAAGCACTGCTTGAATATCAAGCAAAAAATGGGTGCTAGAAATAACATCATATGAAAGCTGGCTGGCACAACCTGGTGATCACAACCAGGCGTAGTGAAGACTTCTGCCCTTGTTCTTCGATGCTCTGCTGCTAACAGGGGCAGCTCAACCCATTACGCAAACTAAGCATTCGCAATATAGTTGATTTTACCCAGGGGCGCTCTTGGGGGAAAATAGACCTTGACATATGCGAGTTGTAGTTACTGGGATGTATAGATTACCTACAATCAAAGAGCATTCTGAACTCCACCAATGATGGAATTGAACCAAATATGGCACACAGAACTCCCACAACGAACAGAAAATATATATCAGTGATTGGTTGGGGGGAGGGGGGCACCAAAATACTGTTTGCTTACCATTGAAAATTACCTAGGGCCGCCTCTGGCTGCTGAATACGCATGCCCAGTGTGGAATACATCTCACCACGTTAAAACAGTGGATGTGGCTCTTAATGAGACATGCTGCATTATCACAGGATGTCTATGCCCCACACTGCTGGAGAAATTGTACAGCTTAACCGGTATTGCACCACCTGACATCCACCAAGAATTAGCAGCCAGCAATGCAAGAACCAGGGGGCAGTGTCATCTCCAGCCCATACTATGTTCGGATATCAACCAGCAAACAAACGACTTAAATCAAGAAATAGCTTCCTAAGATACTCGCAGGAACACTCAGCAAGCGAGAGTCCAAAAGTGGCAGGCTAAAACTCGGAGCCTCAAACAGTGGCTGAGACCAGATGAGTAACTCTCTCCTGGGCACATAGAAGACTGGGAAACTTGGAAAGCGCTGAACAGACCATGAGATGCAAAGCCAACCTTAAGAAATGGGGCATCAAAGTGGAGTCCATAACATGCGAGTGCGGCAAAGAACAAACCACAGACCACTTGCTACAATGCAGTCTGAGCCCTGCCACATGCACAATGGAGGACCTTCTCACAGCAACACTAGAGACACTCCAAGTGGCCAGCTTCTGGTCAAAGGGCATTTATTTTTATTATTTATTTACAGTATTTATATGCCGCCTTTTTCACCCCTGGGGGGACTCAAATTTAGTATCATGCCAAATTGTGTTTTTTTACACGTTATAACTGTATTCTCAGTTCATTTCTGACACACTAAATAAATACATCTCTTTCTCTTCTTAATTTCTTTCTCTCCGCAGTGTTATTTGGCCTGCCACAAAAAGTGCCTGGAGACTCTGGCCATCCAGTGCGGCCACAAGAAGCTCCGGGGCAAGCTCCAGCTCTTTGGCCAGGACTTCCTGCAGGCCTCCGGCTCCAGCCCCGATGGCATCCCCTTCATTGTCCAAAAGTGCGTCTTGGAGATTGAGAAGCGAGCCACCAGGACCAAGGTGAGCCTGAGGGTTGGGCTGCCTCACAGAACCCTCAAACCGTAAGGGCCCAAAGTCGAAGAGTAGGATGTGACATCCCTTCATCGAGCCACTAGACTCAGACTGATGCAGCTGAGAATCACATTGGTCTTTAGAGCTGCCTTTGAGTGGCTGCATCACACTGTTGACTCATGTCAAGAGGTGCCGAAGCCTCTGAGCAATGAAGCTGGGCAGTGTTCCTCCAGATCCGTGTTGATTTGTGTCTTCCCCCCTTTGCAGGGCATCTATCGCGTCAACGGGGTGAAAACCCGGGTGGAGAAGCTCTGCCAGGCCTTTGAGAACGGAAAAGAGCTGGTGGAGCTGTCCCAGGCTTCTCCACATGACATCAGCAATGTCCTGAAGCTCTACCTGCGGCAGGTAAGAGGTCGTGAGGGTGGCACCTTCGCTTTTGGACAGCTCCCTTGAGCCATGAAAAAGATATGGTCTAAAATTACTTTCAAGCTTTTGTCCATGGAACAACAGTTATACCTTGGGTCCCATCCCCAAGGTATCTGATTGTGTATATGCGGTTATCCTATTATAGAGAAGACATCCTATCTATCTATCTATCTATCTATCTATCTATCTATCTATCTATCTATCTATCTATCCATCAATCTTACCTATCTACCTATCCATCCAAGAAAGTAAAGGAGGAGAGGAAGGAAGGGATAGGAAAGAGGGAAGTATGAGGGGAAGGGAAAGAAGAAAGAAAAAACAAAGTAAGGAAGGAAGGAGCAAAGCTAGGCAAGACGACATAGGAAAGGGAGAAATGGTATGAGGGGAAGGAAAGAAAGAAGGGAAAGAAGGGTTGAAGTAGAAGAGGGGGAAGAAAGTAAAGGAGGGGAGGGAGAGATAGGAAAGGGGGGAAGCATGAGAAGGAAGGAAGGAGTGAAGGTAGGCAGGAAGAGATAGAAAAGTAGGGAATGTATGAGGGGAAGGGAAGAAAGAAGGGAATGAAAGGTTGAAGTAGAAGAAGAGGGAGAAGAATAAAGGAGGCATGGGAGGAAGGGATAGGAAAGGGGGAAAGTATGAGGGGAAGGGCAGAAAGAAGGGAACGAAAGGTTGAAGTAGAAGAAGAGGGAGAAGAATAAAGGAGGCAAGGGAGGAAGGGATAGGAAAGGGGGAAGTATGAGAAGGAAGGAAGGAAGGAGAAGGAAGGAAGGAAGGAAGGAGAAGGAAGGAAGGAAGGAAGGAGAAAAGAGGGAAAGAAAGGGAGGAAAGAGAGGGAAGGAAGGAAGGATAAAAGGTTGAAGTAGGAGAAGAGGTGGAAGAAAGTAAAGGAGGTAAGGGAAGGAGGGATAGGAAAGTGGGAAAGGTAGAAAAAAGAAAGGAGCAAAGGTAGGCAGGAAGAAATAGGAAAGTGCTGAAAGTATGAGGGTAAGGGAAGAAAGAAGGGAGTGAAAGGTTGAAGTAGGAGAAGAGAAGGGGAAGAAAGTAACGGAGGCAAGGGAGGGATATGAAGGGGGGAAAGTATGAGGGGAAGGAGGAAGGAAGGAAGGAAGGAAGGAAGGAAGGAAGGAAGGAAGGAAGGAAGGAAGGAAGGGTTGAAGTAGGAGAAGGAAAGGGAAGAAAGTAATGGAGGGATTGGAAAGGAGGAAAGGGATGAGCAAAGGTAGGCAGGAAGCGATAGGAAAGGGGGAAAGTATAGGGGGACGGGAAGAAAGAAAGAAAGAAAGAAAGAAAGAAAAAGAAAGAAAAGAAAAGAAAGAAAGGAAGGAAGGAATGGTTGAAGTAGGAGAAGGAAAGGGAAGAAAGTAAGGGAAGGAAGAAGAGGAAGAGATGAAAGAAAAAGAAAGAAGGAACGAGAATAACTGAAAGAGAAGAAGAGGAGAAGAGTGAAGAAAAAGGAGGAAGAAGAAGTAAGGAGGAGGAGAAAGAAGAGATGGAAGACAAAGAAAGAAGAAAGAAGGAGAAGAAGGAAAGAAAGTAATGGAGGGAAGGAAGGGAGGGATTGGAAAGGAGGAAAGGAATGAGGTCAAGGAATGAGAAAGAAGCGATAGCAGGGAGCCTCTCCGATATCCAGAGAAGGCGGGAAAAGGCCTTGCAAAGCCACTGCTGCCACTCCTTCCTTGCCTTCCAGCTGCCAGAGCCCATCCTGCCCTTCCGGATGTACAATGCCTTGATGGGGTTGGCCAAGGAGAGCCTCCAGGGAGGGAAAAACGCTGCCGAAATGGTCAACAAGGGGCCCGAGACCGACCCGGCCGTGCTGGCGCTGGTGTCCAAGCTGCGGGAGCTGCTGGCCAAGGAACTGCCAGCTGAGAACAGGGCCACCTTGCGCTTCCTCGTCCAGCACTTGCGAAGGTGAGCGCTCCCTTCCTTCTGTGTCTCAACCCTATTTGACTTCCCCCCCCCCCCCCCAAATAAAAACATTCTCATTCGAACAATGCATTTGTGCCTTCGTTTCCCAGGATCGTGGCTGCCGAGGGAGAGAACAAGATGACCCCTGGCAACTTGGGCATCGTCTTTGGCCCCACCTTGATGCGCCCCCGGCCCACCGAGGCCACCATTTCCCTCTCCTCCTTGGTGGACTATCCCCACCAGGCTCGCATCATTGAGGCCTTCATCATCTTCTACCCTGACATCTTCGAGACATCCCCGGCACTTGCGGTTGGCTTGGAAGAGGAAGAAGAGGAAGAGGAAGAAGAGGAAGTGACAGGGAACCAGGTGAGTGGAAGCTTTTGTAGGGCTCTGTGGTGTCAAATCCTATTGTTGGGGGCCACAAGAGCCATCTAGTCCAACCCCATTTGACCAGGCAGGAACACACAGTATGAACAGTTCTTAAGTTCTCCCAGCTGTGGAGGTGGGGTCACTTTTCCTGCTGATGGCTCCACTGGGTCCGAGTCTCTGGAGACGCAGAAGGCAAGCTTACCCGCTCCTCAATGGGATCATCTTCTCAAATACTCAGTCTTAGCCTCACCCATTTTGTCTCCTGCTTCCAGGACGATGGGACGCCGGACCTCGTGTCAACGCCGGACCCGGATGAGGCTGCACTTCACGAAGGTGAGACGGAACCGTGCCTTTGTCCGGAGCCTCCGCTGTCCCACTTTCTCCCTTCTCAGTTGGCTCCTTATTGGTAGCTCTTCCCTTCCAAACGTTTGGCACGAACACCTTTCCAGCTTTGAACTGCGTGGTGTGATGTTAATTGAACCATATGTAATTCACATTTGATTAGCCCACACACTGCCTTGCCAGAGAAAGAAAAATATGCTATGCAAGTGAAGAGTAAAGAACAAATAGTTTACTCTTCGTAGTTCAGAACAACATATGTACAATGTGATCAGTTGCATCAACTCACATAATATCCTTTTGTGAGATTTAAAATGGTCTTTCTTTGTCCATGTGGATAAACCCTTTCAGCAGCTCATGAAGAGAAACCACACTCCAAACTCTGTCTCTCTCTGCTTCTTTCTTCTCTGTGCGCCTGCATAGCTCAAGCTTGAACAAAAACGTAACAGTATCCAAAAGTACCAGGCTCAGCCTGTGCCCTGGACATTTCCTAACCAATTGGTTTCATGTATTATATTTTACAGTTGACACACACACATTAACCGATTCCTTTCATGCTCCAAGAAACTGTTTTGTTAGTTTATTGCTTTGTTTTGAGTTCATTTTATTGTATTGTTGTTGTGTTTTTACTGATGTATTTGGGCTCGGCCTCTTGTAAGCCGCACCGAGTCCTCCGGGAGATGGTAGCGGGGTACAAATAAAGGTTTATTATTTATATTATTATCATAAACTGAGCTGACATTCCAAGTGAGTAGAACAGAGCGGGACGATGATTTCCCGCCTCTAAATGCAGCCGAGAATCGCTTTAGCCTTTCTAGCTGCCACATCACACCATGAGTTTGTGTTCGATCCCAAGACGACCATTCTTTGTTTCCCTTGTGCAGAATCGAGCGCTCGCTTCATCGACTCTGATTCGGACGAGGACGACAACACTGAAGGAGACCCGCCGGCCCGCGCAGCTCGGCACAGCAAGTCCAGCGCCGACGAGGAAACGCCGTCAGCTGACGAGGAAGGCGCCCGGAGCCATTCGGAGTCTGAGGACGTCTCAGTGCCGCAGGGAAGAGATGCAGAGGAAGACTCCGTCTTTCGGAGAGACGAGATACTTGGCTAGTGGCCTCTCAGCACATTTCACTGGCCACCTAACATGTCATCGTATTCTTGCGTTGGGTATTTCCGGTACTGAGATCTTTTGGGGATGAGACCCAGTCCAAACAAAAAACATTGCATTGACAATAGAGATAGAAGCATAGAGCTAGAAGGGATCCTCCCCAAAAGGCCATCTAGTCCAAACCCCTTTTCTGACAAGGGAAGTCTTGGAATCATAAGATATAGCCTGAAGGTCCCTTTAAGTCTCCTTTCTTCAAAATGTTTGCAGACAGGGATTTGGATTTTTTTTTCCCAATTGAAATATGTAGACTCCCAGTTAACCAGTACCCACGAGGCTTTCCAGATCAGTTGTTTCTGGTTGCTTGAGTTACCTTTACAAATAGGCCTAACTCAGATTATATCCCACAGCACAAACTCTGCATTGACTTGATCTTTATCATATCACACATGCACACACACACATGTAAGGACTACAGAATATTAATCATAGACACATCTTAACACATTTGAATTATATTAGGTATATTTTAATGAGGTCTGACTAGATGACCTTTGGGGTCCTCGCCAATGTCTTTGGTTTTCTTTCTCTTGCAGCAAAAACAAAAAACTAGAGGAAGAATGGGCTATGTTATTATATTCGAATCATATTAGGAATACTTTAATGGAGGGTCCCATTGAGCTAAGATCATATTAGGGGTATTTTAATGGAGAATCAGATTGACTCTCCTTTCGTATTTTCAAAGTATTTTCAAAGGAATGTTGTGCATGAAACCATCTATACACACACACACACACATACACATACACACACATATATATATACACATACACACACATATATATGTGTGTGTTGTTGTTCATTCATTCAGTCATTTCCAACTCTTCATGACCTCACGGACCAGCCCACGCCAGAGCTCCCCGTCGGCCGTCACCACCCCCAGCTCCTTCAGAGTCAAGCCAGTCACTTCAAGGATGCCATCCATCCATCTTGCCCTTGGTCGGCCCCTCTTCCTTTTTTCCTTACACACACATACATATATATATAGCTTGAGGAGCTAATCTTTGAGGAGCTTAGCTTGGAACAGTACTCAGCGTCGCATTTCCTATTTGCAAAGGATTGTGTGCACAAACCTCATGATTTTTAATGATCTGTATAGATGTTATTCTGTCTTTTAGCTATGTGCCTTGTTTTAGGCCGTTTTGAGCCAATGTACATCATGCTGCAAAAGACTTACGTATTAAGAGCCGTTTGGAAATAAAAGTCAACACTTTGTTTTATTTTATATGTATACTAGCTTGGGTACCTGGCGTTGCCCGGGTTATTTGAAAAAGTCAATTTTTTAATTGCCCAAAATGCATAAGGTTGTGGGTGAACTATAACTCACATCATACCTATGAGAAAGTCCATCAGTACTTTATGTTGGGCAAATGTGCTTTGGATGCATCATGGATGGGGTTCAGTGCGCTCTCCGGCTGGAGGGTAAACTACAACTCCCACTATGGTGAGTCTGTCCCCTCAAACCCCTCCAGTAGGTTGAGTTAGTCATGCGGGTTCAGTGTGCCAAGTTTGGTCCCAGTCCATCATTGGTGGAGGTCACAGTTTCCCTGGTTGTGGGTGAACTACAACTCCCAGAAAGGAAGATCAGTTCCCCCCAAACCCCTCAAACTTTGGCATGTCAGGTCTGTGTGCCCAGTGTGGTCCAGATCCATCAGTGTTTGGGTTCACTGTGCGCTTTGGATGTAAGGTGAACTACAACTCCCTCAAGTCAAGGTGAATTTTCCCCAGAGACATCCAGTATTTTTTGCTGGGCATGGGCACTCTGTTTGCCAAATGTGATCCAATTCCATCTTTGGTGGTGCTCAGAGTGCTTGTTGATTGCAGGTAAACTACAACTCCAAAATGTTCAGGCCAATTCCCCTCAAAACCCACTAGTATTCAAATTTGGGCATATCGGGTATGCGTGCCAAGTTTGGTTCAGATCCATCCTTGTTGGGTTCATAGATGTAGCTGAACTACAACTCCTATAAATCCCTCCAAAGACCTCCAGTATGTTTTGCTGGTCATGGGGCTTCTGTGTGCCAAGTTAGTTCCAGGTCCATTGTTGGTAGAGTTCAGTGCTCTTAGATTGCGGGTGAACTATACATCCCAGTACCTACAACTCCTATAAATCATTGTGAACTCTCCCCAAAACCCAGTATGTTCAGTTGCTTATCAATTCCTCTGTTTGCTGTGTGCTATAGAAAAGAATAGGAAGGGGTTATGGGAAAGGCAGTGGGCGGGGGGGGGGGGTCATGCAAACTTCACACCAATGGAGAGAGTCAGGAACACTAGGATGTCTGTGGTGGAGGAAACACACAAAATCTAGGGTTAAATCTAGTCCACCCTCCTTCTCTGATAAGAGAGGTCTCAAAATCACAGAGCTAGAAGGGACCCCCAGAAGCCATCTAGTCCATCCCCCTTCTCTGATAAGAGAGGCCTTAGAAGCAGAGCTAGAAGGGTCCCCCAAAGGCCATCTAGTTCAACCCCCTTTTCTGACGTGAATCAGAGCTGGAAGGAACCCCCAAAGACTATGTAGTTCACCCTCCTCTGATAAGAGAGGTCTCAAAATCTCAAAGCTAGAAGGGACCCCCAGAGGCCATCTAGTCCATCCTCCTTCTCTGATAAGAGAGGTCTTAGAATCAGAGCTAGAAGGGTCCCCCAAAGGCCATCTAGTTCAACCCCCTTTTCTGACATGAGAGAATCAGAGCTGGAAGGAACCCCCAAAGGCCATCTAGTCCACCCTCCTCTGATAAGAGAGGTCTCGAAATCAGAGCTAGAAGGGACCCCCAGAGGCCATCTAGTCCATCCTCCTCCTCTGATAAGAGAAGTCTCAGAATCACAGAGCTAGAAGGGAACCTCAGTAGATATCTAGTCCAACCCTTCTTGTCCCACAGGAACCTACACCCAAAGCATGAAAGATTCTCCAAGAAAACTTGATTTTAAAGAACCCAAAAGTAGAGAATCAGTCCTTCCTTTCGCAGCAAGTTGTTCCTAATTTCTGCCAGACCCACAGACATGAAGACGCCCGCATTCCTCTCAAAGGCAAAATGAGGAACCCACAGATTGAAAACAAAACATCCTAAACCTTTATTACAGCAGTTGCATTGGAGAGGAAGCTTTCCGGATTTCAGGTTTCAAACTCTAGTGTCCATTTAGAGTGAGTCCCATTTTCACCTAGAAAAGATGGCTGAGCATAGAGAGAATGGCAGGGCATTGACTGGGGCAACCCTTTCAAGAGTCTTTGGGGTTCCCAAGGTGTCCAGAGCCATGCTGGGAAGACAGAGAGGTCAATCTGGTATTATGGCGGTTAGACAAGCCAGGCGGTCATCTCCAGAAGGAAGCGGTCAAACTAGATGGAAGATAACAAAAGGCACCATCGGGATGAGAGTATGGCCCTTTTACCTGAGTCAGGAAAACTCCAAAAGGTAAGCTCTAGGTTCTCCAGCAGGACTGGGCAAAAAGGTTCCAAGAGCTGCCCAAAATAGTCACTTGTCGGCTACGATTTGCTCATCCTGGTATTGCAAAGTGAGGCAAAAGAGGGAACGGAAGACTGAGGCAGACGAGTCCAAAATACCTGACAAAACTACTATTGCACCAGCCTATAAGTGATGTACCGGCCAGCCGTCTCGCTGGGACGGATGATCTTCACCACCTGGAAAAAAAGAGAATAAGAGATATATATATATATATATATATATATATATATATACACACACACACACACACACACATACATACACACACACACACATACATACATACACACACACACACACACACACATACACGCGCGCACACGCACACACACACTAGCTTGGGTCCCTGGCGTTTCCTCAGTTATTTGAAAAAGTTAATTTTTAATTATACAAAATGCATAAGGTTGTGAGTGAACTACAACTCACATCATGCCAGGGTAACCCTGAAAAACTCTTTATCAGTACTTAAAGTTTGTTATGTTGGGCAAGTTTACTCTACATCAATCATTGGTGAGCTTCAATGTGTTCACTGGCTGCAGGGTGAACTACAACTCCCACTATGGCGAGTCAGTCTCCTCAAACCCCTCCAGTAGGTTGAGTTAGTCACTGGGGTTCTATGTGCTAAGTTTGGACCAGGTCCATCATCGGTGGAGTTCAAAGTGTTCACTGATTGCAGATGAACTATAAATCCCAGTGCCTACAACTCCAAAATGTCTATGCCAATTCCCCTCAAAAAACCCCACTATTCAAAACTGGGAATATCAAGTATGTATGCCAAGTTTGGTCCAGATCCATCCTTGTTTGGGTTCATAGTGAGCTTATAGAGTAAAATAATAAATGTAATATTAGAGTAATATAATAAATGTATTAATAATAAATAATAAATGTAATAATGTAATGTAGTAATATTATTATTAATGTATAAAATATAATAACAGAGTAAATGTAATAATAATAGAGAAAACCGGCTGTTAGGAATTGTGGGAGTTGGAGTCCAAAACACCTGGAGGGCCCAAGTTTGCCCAGGCCTTAATTTCCTGTAAATAGGGGAATTTCCTGTAAATATGGCAAAGCGTGGGAAAGTGTTCCAAGGGTCCAAGTTGGAATGGAGAGTGTCTTTATATGTATATATATGCATATTTATATATTCTCCTCTTCTCCTTTAATATTGAGTTAGTCATGGGGGTTCTGTGTGCTAAGTTTGGACCAGGTCCATCATCGGTGGAGTTCAAAGTGTTCAGTGATTGCAGATGAACTATAAATCCCAGTGCCTACAACTCCAAAACGTCTATTTATTTATTATTTATTTATTTGCTATGCTTGTATACCGCTGTTTCTCAGCCTAGCCAGCGACTCAACGCGGTTTACAACAAAATATAACAATCAACAGTATACAATTTAAAACCATAAAAGCATAATACACAATTCACATATCAATAACAATCCAATACATCTCCTGACTAAAATCGTGATCCAGTTCGTCGTCCATATTGCCAATCCTTAATCATTACATTAATTGCACTGAGTTAACCAAATGCCTGTTCGAACATCCAGGTTTTTAATCTTCTTCGGAACACCATCAGCGAGGGGGCTGATCTTACCTCCATGGGAAGGGCGTTCCACAGCCGAGGGGCCACCACAGAAAAGGCCCTGTCTCTCGTCCCCGCCAGCCGCACCTGTGAAGCAGGCGGGATAGAGAGCAGGGCCTCCCCAGAAGATCTTAGGGTCCTGGTGGGCTGATAGGCCGAGATACGTTCGGATAGATAGGTTGGGCCAGAACCGTTTAGGGCTTTAAAGGCCAACGCCAGCACTTTGAATTGAGCCCGGTAGCAGATTGGCAGCCAGTGGAGCTGGTGCAGCAGAGGAGTGGTATGCTCCCTGCGCTCCGCTCCTGTTAGTATCAAGGCTGCCGAACGTTGGACTAGTTGGAGCTTCCGGGCCGTCTTCAAAGGCAACCCCACGTAGAGAGCGTTGCAGTAGTCTAAACGGGATGTAACCAGAGCGTGGACTACCGTGGCCAAGTCTAGGCCAATTCCCCTCAAAAAACCCCACTAATCAAAATTGGGCATATCAAGTATGCATGCCAAGTTTCGTCCAGATCCATCCTTGTTTGGGTTCATAGTGAGCTATGGATGTAGGTGAACTATAACTCTAATAAATACTTTCAAAGACCTCCAGTATTTTTTGTTGGTTTTGGGGGTTATGTGTGGCAAGTTAGTTCCAGGTCCATGGTTGGTGGAGTTCAGAGTGCTTTTAGATTGCAGGTGAACTATACATCCCAGGACCTACAACTCCTATACATCATAGTGAGTGTATTGTCGAAGGCTTTCCCAGAAACCTCACAACCTCTGAGGATGCTTGTCATAGATGCAGGCGAAATGTCATGAGAGAATACTTCTACAACATGGCCATATAGCCCGAAAAACCTACAACAACCCATCATGGTGAGTTCTCCCCAAACCTCTGTAGTATGTTCAGTAGCTGATCAACTCTGCTCTATTTGCTGTGTGTCACAGAAAAGAGTAGGAAAGGGTTAAGGGAGAGACAGTGGGTGGGATCATGCAAATTCCACACCAATGGAGAGAGTCAGAAACACTGGGATGTCTGTGGTGGAGGAAACACGGAAAATCTAGGATGAAGTTGTCCTAGAATGAAAGCATTCCTTGGTGGTGGGCAGTGAGGTGTTTGCATAAAACACTAGCAGGGGTTGGGCTATATGTCTGTTCATGGCACTCACTATAACCTGCAATGTCATTGGAGGGAGGGCCATTGGTGTCTTCCGAGTAGTGGGAGTTATAGCTGTTTGTGGAGGCAGGAGGCTGCATGTGTAAGTAGATGCTCCCACCACATACACACATACATCTTCTATATATATAAAAATGCTCAGTGCATAATGAGTACCTTAAAAACAAAAAACCAATGAACGAAATCACACCAAATTTGGCCACAAAACATCTCACTACACAAGGAGTGACCATCACTCAAAAAATTATGATTTTTTCATTTGGGAGTTGTAGTTGTTGGGATTTATAGTTCACCTATAATCAAAGAGCATTCTGAACTCCACCAAAATTGGAATTGAACCAAACTTGGCACACAGAACTCCCATGACCACCAGAAAACACTGAAAGGATTTGGTGGGCATTGACCTTGAATTTTGGAATTATAGTTCACCTACATCTAGAGAGCACTGTGGACCCAAAGAATGTTGGATCTGGACCAAACTTGGCACGAATACTCAATATGCCCAAATATAAACACAGATGGAGTTTGAGGAAAATAGACCTTGACATTTGTGAGTTGTAGTTACTGGGATTTATAGTTCACCTACAATCAAAGAGTGTTCTGAACCCCACTAACGACAGAATTGGGACAAACCTCCCACACGGAACCCCCATGACCAACAGAAAATACTTAAGGCCATCCAGTCCAACTCCCTTTACCAGGGCAAGAAAAAGTAATCAAAGCCCTCCTGACAAAGAGCCATCCAGCCATAGATATAGAGAGATATATATGACTCACACACACAGAGATATAGTATCATAGATTTGAAATGGACCCCTAAACAAAGACAATTCTATGTTCCAGAGTAGGCCAACCAGACAATCTCTACATCAACACAAGCATAAAGAAATTACATATATTAGAAACCAACACTTTCTCATTACTTTATTTTCCAGATCACCAGACTGGGCCACAGCAACGCGTGGCAGGGGATAGCTAGTATTTTATGTGTATAGAGAGATAGATATATGGAGCTTTCAGAGGTCACAACAAAGCGGTGGACTTTTGTGCAAGTGATCTATTGGGCTCCAAAGCAGAGTCGAATTTCTATACAGGAGGGACATGAGTGGTGTAGTTTCCTCTCATCTTCCATATACCCAAAGAAGTCCTTTTTTAAGCATCTAATCCAGTGATTCTCAACCTATGGGTCCCCAGATGTTTTGGTCTTCAATTCCCAGAAATCCTAACAGCTGGTAAGCTGGCTGGGATTTCTGGGAGTTGTAGGCCAAAACACCTGGTGACCCACATTGAGAATCACTCATCTAATCGAACCACATTCATCTTTTGAATCGTACCAAAAGGAGTCCATGCATACATTTGGGCTCCTAATTATACCAATTTGGCTTTCTAATCAGACTAGAAGAGGTCCATTATTGTGGCTTTGAATTGTACCGATTTGGTTTCAGAGAAGCAGATGGCAAAAACAGAAGAATGCCCTGCCTCAGGGGAGCGTGCTTGCTCCATCAACGTTTAACATTTACACAATTACTCAGCCACTGCCAGAAGGGACAGAGAGTTTCATCTATGCTGACGATCGTGCCATCACCGCTCAAGCAGGAAGCTTTGAAATGATCGAACAGAAGCTTTCCAAAGCTTTAGGTGCTCTTACTGCCTATTACAGGGATAACCAACTGATTCCTAATCTATCTAAAACACACCTTCAGAACAGACAAGCATCTCGAACTCTGATGATTACCTGGGAAGGAATCCCACTGGAGCATTGCTGCACACCCAAATACCTGGGAGTTACTCTGGACCATGCTCTGACTTACAAAAAGCACTGCTTGAATATCAAGCACAAAGTGGGTGCTAGAAATAATATCATACGAAAGCTGACTGGCACAACCTGGGGATCACAATCAGACATCGTGAAGACATCTGCCCTTGTGCTTGGCTACTCTGCTGCTGAATACGCATGCCCAGTGTGGAATACATCTCACCACGTTAAAACAGTGGATGTGGCTCTTAATGAGACATGCCGCATTATCACAGGATGTCTACGCCCCACACTGCTGGAGAAATTATTCTGCTCAATCGGTATTATTTATTTACAGCTTTTATATTCCACCCTTCTCACCCCGCAGGGGACTCAGGGCGGATCACAGTGTACACATATATGGCAAACATTCAATGCCAATTTTTGACATACAAACATATACAGACATACCCAGAGGCTATTTAACTTTTTCTGGCCGCCAGGGGAGCTGTCGCTTCCATTGTCCATCTGCGACACTGATGAAGCACCTCCGCATTCCCCGCATGCTTTCCGCTGGAGTGCCCTGCTGGAGTCCTTTTTATGGATGGCTATTGACGTCCAAAGATTTGTTCTGGACTCCTTTACAATGGCAACTAGTTGACTTTGGGCAGATCTATACCGTAGGACTATGGAGGTTTATACTACTTTCATTGCCATAGCTTCATCCTGTGGAAGCCTGGGAGTTGTGATTTGACAAGGCCTTGAGCCTTCTCTACCCAAGGGTGATAGTTCCTCACCAGACTGCATCTGTTTTTCCATAACATTGAGCCATGGGAGCTAAAGCGATGTCAACAAGTAAACAATGCTCCTCTGAGATGAATTTGTCATGGGTTGAGCAACCAAACTCAATGGGTGCTTCTCCCCAATGGTTCTTCCTCTCCATTCTGGAAAGAAGAGACTCTTTGGGTGCCAGAAAGAGGGTCCTGTGCAAAGGTCAGTGGCCAGGGTGTTGTCGCCTCCATTGTCCATCTGCGACACTGATGAAGCACCTCCGCATTCCCCGCATGCTTTCCGCTGGAGTGCCCTGCTGGAGTCCTTTTTATGGATGGCTATTGACGTCCAAAGATTTGTTCTGGACTCCTTTACAATGGCAACTAGTTGACTTTGGGCAGATCTATACCGTAGGACTATGGAGATTTATACTACTTTCATTGCCATAGCTTCATCCTGTGGAAGCCTGGGAGTTGTGATTTGACAAGGCCTTGAGCCTTCTCTACCCAAGGGTGATAGTTCCTCACCAGACTGCATCTGTTTTTCCATAACATTGAGCCATGGGAGCTAAAGCGATGTCAACAAGTAAACAATGCTCCTCTGAGATGAATTTGTCATGGGTTGAGCAACCAAACTCAATGGGTGCTTCTCCCCAATGGTTCTTCCTCTCCATTCTGGAAAGAAGAGACTCTTTGGGTGCCAGAAAGAGGGTCCTGTGCAAAGGTCAGTGGCCAGGGTGTTGTCGCCTCCATTGTCCATCTGCGACACTGATGAAGCACCTCCGCATTCCCCGCATGCTTTCCGCTGGAGTGCCCTGCTGGAGTCCTTTTTATGGCCTCATAAATTAGTTAATTTAGCCTCCCCACACTTTAAGGTGGTACCTAATTTTCCTACTTGACAGATGCAACTGTCTTTCGGGTTGCAAAGGTCAACAACAGGCTACACAATTGGTTGGAAACCCACTCCAACCCGGGCTGGCTTCGAACTCATGACCTTTTGGTCAGAGTGATCTTAATGCAGCTGACACTCGGCCAGCTGCGCCACAATCCCGGTGTTACACCACCTAACATGCACTGGGAAGTAGCAGCCAGCAATGCAAGGACCAGGGGGGCAGTGACATCTCCGGCCCATCCTCTGTTCGGATATCAACCAGCAAAACGAAGTCAAGAAATAGTTTCTTAAGATTAACAGAGATACTCACAGTAACACATCAGCAAGTAAGAGTCCAAAAGTGGCAGGTGAAAACCTGGAACCTCAACCAGTGGCTGAGTCCAGATGAGAAACTCCTTCCTGGGCACACAGATGACTGGGCAACCTGGAAGGCGCTGAACAGACTGCGCTCTGGCACCACGAGATGCAGAGCCAACCTTCATAAATGGGGCTCCAAAATGGAGTCCATGACATCTAAGTGTGGAGAAGAGCAAAGCACAGACCACCTATTACAATGCAGTCTGAGCCCTGCCACATGCACAATGGAGGACCTTCTTATAGCAACACAAGAGGCACTCCAAGTGGCCAGCTTCTGGTCAAAGGAAACTTAGTACAATGCCAAGTTTTGAACTTTGAGATTTTTTTTATGTTACTAGCTTTCCCTGCCACGCGTTGCTGTGGCCCACCTTACCTCCCTCTTTCTCTCCTTCTTTCCCTCCTTCCCTTTTCTTCTTTCCTTCTCTCCTTCCTTCCTTCTCTCTTCTCTTCCTCTTTCCTTCCTTCCTTCCTTTGGTTTTTCTTTCCATTCTTCCTTTTGTCTGTCCTTCCTTCCCCCCTCTTTCTCTTTCTTTCTCTTCTTCCTTTGCTCCTTCTCTGTTTCCTTCCTTCCTTCGATGTTTTTCCTCTTCCTTGATTGGGCCCGCCGCCTAGGAGGCTGCAACCACCGTGTTGCTCGGCGAGGCCTCGGTTGTTATGGCGGTTCCGCCGGAAGTGCTGGGAGCAAGACTGACAGGCGAGGGAGCGGAAGTGCGGGAAGGGGTGGGGGGTGGGGGGGAAGGAAGGGGGCGTGACTTCCCGCAGGGGGCGTGGGAGGAGGGAAGGATTGAGTCAGGGCGGGAAAGGGAGGGCGGCGAAGGGAGGGGGCGTGGTCAGCGGCGGAGGAGGAAGAGGAGGAGGGAAAGAATTGAGTCAGGGCGGGTAGGGGCATGGCGGCAAAGGGAGGGGGCGTGGTTTGCAGCGAGGGAGCGTTGTCTGGCAATGTGCGCGTGGCGGGGGACTCGCACCAGGGCACCTCTGCGCATGCTCCCTTTGTTTTTGAAATTGTGGGTTTGTTGAAATGTTGTTTACTATTTTGATGAGAGTTGTGCATACCTTGTGGGTTGAGGTATGTGCGCGCCAAGTTTGGGGAGTTTTGGTCCAGGGGTTTTCGCGTTTTGCTGTCCCGCTGAACGCCCTTTCTCTTTTTATATATATAGATAATTATATTCTCAATTCGCTTCTGACACAATAAATAAATAAATCAGACCGAAAGGAGTCCTGGCTCCAGCTTTCAACCAAAACAACAGACCCAGAAGCAGTTTTAGCACCTTGAACCAAAATGCCCACCAACATTGGCATGTTGCTGCCTATAAAGTCCAACCAAACACAGACGGAAGCCAACTCTGTTCTCAATGGGGCTTTACCTGTCCTCGCTTGATCCCAAAGTAGCGCGCCACAGGGTCCCCTGCTTGTATCCGAGGAAGCTGGTTCTCTCTCAGCTTGCTGGTTGGAAGGGTTAAGGAAAAGACTAACACAAAAAGGGCCTTCCCAAATAGATCTAAACCGCAAGAAGGCTCCTTCTGACATCATCTTGAACCCTAGCTTCACAACTAAGTCCGAGTTAGAGCTGGAGTTTGCGGAGAAACACAGCGCCCTGAAAGAGCCTTTAGCTTCCTTCCTTTGTTGACACATGAAGGACAACCATTTTGGGGAGGCAAAAAAAGGATACTATCGCGCCAACAGCTCTGTCACCTCTTCTTTGGTCATGACTACGTGCTCGGGAACAAGCTGTAAAGGCGAGAGGAATACGAGATGAGCCAAGCACAGCGTTTGGAAAACTATCCAGGGGAATGAGAGTGATTCACAACACAATAATACACAATCCATGCTCTTTCCCCCCACAGTAGCTATAGTCCCTAACCCACACTATCTGGATTACACAGAACAGTGTTTCTCAACGTGCTTAGTCCTAATCTTTTTTAAATATTGGTTTTAAACCACTTCATTGGATGTGTTGCAATAGCAGATTCCAGATTAGTTTAGTGTTTACACCTTAATTTATTTTTCTGGTTATTTAATATTTAATGTTTATTTTACTTGAGTGTAAAATCATACTACGTATTTTTACATTAATATTGAAATCTGAAATATATACAGAAAGTCTTGACTGCTCTATAGGACCTTGACTGGTATCAGGTGGTGCCTTCGATGGTCAGGAAATCAGAGATAATTTTTCGAGACAGGGCTCAACCTGCATTAGGCCTATGAAATTCGAACTCAACCTGTCGAAATATTATTTTCCAACTCTTAATATTACATATGGAACATCTGCTTGGATTTTTCACCCCTTCTCACCTCATGCTCAGTGATGTTGATCAAAAGTTCCTGCTGAAGGAATTGTTCAAGGATGTACTTGGGCGCCATGTCTACCAGGGACTGGAGAGAAAGGAAGAATGGAAAATGGGGTTTACTAGTAATAATAATACAGTAATAATAATAATAATCTATATCTATCTATATCTATATATATAACAAAAGTGAATGTTTGTTTGTATGTATATATGCGGAGGGCAGAAGGGCGGAAGTGTATGTGGAGCTTTCTGATTGGCTCCCACTTTCACAGGCCACAGAGACTTGCACAAGCGGCGGACCTGGACTAAACTTGGCACACATAACCCCCATGACCCCCTGTACGTCCTGG